CGCACCCATGAAGAGTAATTTTCTTATAAAAGGCGTTCCACTGAAGCGCTAGGAATCAAGTTAACAGATTACTTTTGTTCCTACTTTAAAGTTTAAAGATTGTTAAGTTTTAAGTCGTATTATTAAAGTGTAATCTGTAGATGAGCTTTGATTTTTTTATTTTTCTTATACGAAGCACCATAGTAGCATCTTGCCGAATCGAGCGCCTAAAAAGCATTGTGCCAAATGGAAATTAAATTGACATTTGGCTGCTCTGTTCTGTGAACTGGCATCTTGCTGCTAGGAATCATTGACCGGTAATAGCAATATACTGCACTCAAGGAGTGAAATCATAAATATATCTATATTGTTTAACGACGATTCACTACAGCTAAATTAGTACTTTTTGTTACGGTGAGCAAAAGTGCAGTATCAACCAAAAATTTGAAAGTGTGCACGAAGGTATTTTTTATTCGTACAACTTCGCCTTTTTTACCATATCTTATGTTTTGGAAAGTGCTCTTTCAAAATTTGGCGTTTAAAATTGTTTTTATTAACAATTTACAATGAAAAATTGAAAATACGATTTGCGATCCACACTGAAACGAGAAGGCTTATGCGTACGGGAGTAAAAGTAAACGGTTTATCGTCTAAAGAGCTCGCAAACAAGAAACGTTTTCGCGCATCGCATGGATTTACTATTGCATGCCTATGTAATATAAGCACTTGACCATGACTTTCATTGGCGTTAATTGGTCCTAATTGCGTGCGACACAAACTGCGACGTGCCTAAGTGCAGTCGCAACACTGTAGCCTATCGATATCATGCCGATCTGCATTACATCGACACTATTCAAACTTATGAAAGACTTTTGAAACCTGCGCTAGAGCATATAAAATTCAGAATAAAATGTACAGTGATAATATCCTGTATTCCTGTCTCTGAAAAATTAAAGCAAAACATGAGATGCTTATCCGCAACTATTACTGAAACAGCAAATCGAGAACAGCTGATTCGATTATTCTGCAAAGGAAACGCTGGATCGTCATTTCAATCGTCGTATCGGTCCAGGGACTTTCGTCATCGTCAAGCGAATAAAAAGTATTGCGTTATGTCTTTAGCTGACGCGATGAAATTTTTGTAAATTATTACAATGAAACGTCGCATTGACTTGCAAGAATGTGCTTCGATATTTCAACCTGATTGAATCGCTTTATTTGTTTTAAGTAGCCAAGCTTGCATTAGACATGCGAATCCATGATTAGCTAACGTGATTTTCTCCGTTCCATATAATCTTTTATCGAGTTATCGGTGTTACAGAGACTAATTAAATCTAGTGACCCATTGAGCCGTTAACACGTCGACACTCGGATCTTTTGAGCCTTTGTATCGCTGATTTGAAAATTGATTAAAGTGGAGCAAACGTAAGGCAGTAGGAGTGCTTTCGTAGCCACCTTTGTTTACGGAAGAAGAAGTTAAATGCAGCTATAGCCAAACACGAGCCAAGGCTCGTATAAAGCAAAGGTCGCGATTTACTGCGAGACAGCCAGGGAAAATAAGCAAGAAATTAAAAGGGTGCAGCCTGCAGTGTATATAACGAACGGAGTTGGCGGTTGCAGAGGATAGTAAACTCGTTGATTATTAGGTGGGGTTAATGATAAAACGATACGGATCGCGCAAAAACGTAATGGCCAAACGTCTTGTTTGCAGAAACCAGCGCGAGCGATGACGCGATACGATGATATGCGACCCGTAGAAAAATTTCATCAAAGTCTATGATAAAAGCTTGGCACGCGAAGCAATCAAAGTCGCGCGAAGGACGAACTTTTGGTTTCGTGACCGACGAAAGTTTATAAACGCCGCAATTGCACGTGCGAGGGAAAACGATAGTTTCTCACTGCGTAGCTGTGTGCGGCTTAGTTATTATGTAGACTCCTGAAATAGATGCAATTGAACTTGAAACTATTGCACGAAGACGAATCGGTAAAAAACTCGAACGTGCCGAAAGATGTTGAGTGCGGGGGAAAGCGATACGACTCGAAGCCCCACAGGTTTGTTCGATAAGGGCCCCGTAACAGTATTCGCTAATCTGCGCATCGGCTAGGCTGCGCTCGAGGGACCGCGCAGTGGATCGTCGGCTTCGATCCGAAGGCGTGCGCACAGCAGCTCGCATATAACGCGTATGCGATTGGCCTGCATGCACCTGCACGAGATCCGGCTCGAGTTACCTCAATTCTCTCGTTTTGTCCGTAGACAAAACTTGCTACTCGACGAATTCTCCGAGCTCTCGAGGCTCGGCATTAGTCTGTAGAGCGCAAAATGATTCGTGATCGAACATTACGCAATTTTCACCGGCTCGAATAAGTCTTCAAAGAGCAGTATATATATATAAGCGATATACTCTCGAGCGTTAACGTTACATCCTTGACCATAGGCAAATGGAGCCTCGATCGACTTATACGTAAGATCGCGCGTAGTACGCGAGTCCGAACTATTCGCTCTTGTGGGCGTCGCTCGCTATGTCTATTGAGAAACTACAATCTTATACATGCACCGTCCGGTATCGTGTCTTTGTCGACGGGGGTAAAATGCGCAACGAATATAGTTGCTAAAATAAACATCAAAAGTGTCCACAAGTATACTCACGTTATCGGCTACTTTGCTATTGGCAATGACACGTGACACGTCGGCTTGTTCATTAATGCCGTTCATCTTCTCCTTTGCACACGGGCGATTATTACGTATACGCACATAAACACACACAAACACACACACTTTTTAAACTTATATTTTTAAACTTTCACCCGTGTGATATCATTGCGTCGAGCGTCGGAGATCGTCCCGTGTAGCCGTGTTTCTGCACACGAGCTTAGATGCGTTGCGATCTGTGCGCGCTATATGCTGATAACCCTGGGTGTGCTTTGTTTACGATATACTCATTTTTTTTTCTTCATCGATTTCTCCGCGCACGAAGGCTGTTTTTTTCGCGCATCGCGGATCCTTTCGATTTACACGAAAAAAAATGCTCGCGCGTTGCCTTTCTTCTATATCACCTGATAATTTTTCGCTCGGACTCTTGCCAATTGCATATCTCGGTCTATACCTGGTCTAAAATCGTTAATTATCATCTGCAAACTCGCAGACGATCGTGTCTAACTCATTGCCGTGATTATGCATAGACAAATGTTGAAGTTTGTAGCGAAACTGAAAAGTCGTAACAAATCACTATGTAATTTCTGCCCGGCGTACCGCATTCGTGGAATGCCTTTTCAGTCAACACGTAGATTTCGAGCGAACGCGTACACATGTAAGACGCGGTGTATGGACTGTCTATGTGTGCTCGAGCCCTGAATTAGACAGTTGTAAGTCTATGCCCTTTTTAAAACTTGAAAATATAAGAAAAACAATTAGAAAGGGATTTTTTCCATTAAATACTTCCGATCGGCTCAAAGTGTCGGCGGCATCGATCGGCGTCCTCGATTGGGGCAGGCTCGAGAGGCCGGGCAAGGTCGATTTTCTCTCTATTCAATCCACACAATTAGCTTCACTCGCGACACTAGTTCCGCTGTTCATTTTTTCTCTTTTTTTTCACTAAAGCTAGCCAAGTGCAATGAATAAAAATTCGGCACTACTTGGGTCTCCTGCAGGGAGGCGTTAGTTACACCGTCACGCAGCGCCGACACTTTTGGCAATAAGATAGGATGATCGGCGAGCCGTTGTTGGTCTATAGATCGAGGCAGTCGAATACAATGAGCTACGGCGCGCTCGATGCGTATATGCACATAGGTATATAGCTGCCAAAAAAGGTAAGAAAGCGACTGCGCGCGTCCGTGTCGCATCGAAGGCTACGCGTAACGCGCGGTAGGTACGCGCGGCGGCATGTGCACACTATAACTAACCGCCCAAGCTGGAAAGCGACACTGTATGCGTCGCGAGCTCGTCGCTCCGTCTCGGCTCTCCGACGACTCGGACCGCTCCGAGTTGCGACCACGCGCGCACGCCACACCGAGCCTGCACGCCGCGGCACGCGTATACGAGTGCAGACTTTTAGGCAGTCGCGCCACAGCCACGAGGCAGACAACGATCCACGTCCGATGCTTTTTTGCGCTATATACACTTGTAATGAGCCATTGTGTCGGATGGACGCTTGACTACTCTCGGTCCTATCACTCGAAGGACGAGCGAACGATTCGCGACTCACGGCAGAGATGACTTTGCGATCGTGTGTCGATTCGTCGACGATCAACGAGCTAGGCAGCGGCTTTTATGCGCGGAATAACTCGTTGACTAATGAGTTGCCTCGAATACAAAGTTTGTATATACTATGTAAAAACGAACATACGTCTCGATGAGTCATGCACCGACGCTCACCGAAACGTCAACTGCGGACTTGTCAGCCGCGGCCACGTTCGAATTTCGCGCGATTCTTCAAAAGAGCGAGCTTTCACCTTTTCCGCGCATACCGAGAAAATCGACAAAGTCGAGACTATGACATAAAAATTGCCAAAAAAAGACAAGATTGGCAAGTAGCCTAAACGGCCTAAACCCGAGCTAATACCATTAGCTTCGGAATCAGAGTTTGTAACTTGCACTCATCCATACACGTGCATATTATATCACACGCAAAACGACAAATACAAGTGTGCAGCCTGCGCGTGTGCGCCTCGATCGTAGTTTCAATGCTCGATGCTTCCTATGGCTGGGTATTGCTCGTCTGTGCACAAAGCCCCGAGTGTGTGAGTTTGTGCGAGTTTGCGCTCGAATCGATGATCGTCAGAACTCGGACTGGCTGCTACTGCTGCAGCGAGCAATGATGAACGTATACAGCTCGACAACTCCGACGTCCCCCTCGGCCGAAAAAACACACACATATAACATGCTCGTACCAAGTACGTGTGTATAATGCGCGTACTGACTTCTGTGTATGAATGTATGTGCGTGTGCGTCGCGCGAATCGTCCCCGACACCTATACATACATGTTCATTGCTCGCGCGCTACGATACGTACCTATACGAGTGTGTTATGCTCGTCAGTACGTCACGAGTCATGAACTGACCCTCTGAGCGTGTGCGTATTTTGTGCATCCGTGTGTGTGCTCGCAACTGCTCCGAGCCTGTGCCGTCGGTAAAGTTCCATTAAAAATTCGCTTCTCGCAGCGTCGCACGCACACACTTACACACGCGCACGCTCGCCCCAGCGCTGCCTGCAGCTGACTACTACAAATCTAGCATACTCACACATACACACCATCGGGCCATCAGAAGACGAGTCGAATCCGAGAAGATGAGGTTTACTCGCTGCGAGTTTGCCTCGATTTTTCAACATCCTCTCTCGCGTCTGTGATTGTCCTCGAGTGTGCAGAGTTTGAATCACCAGCTGCCGCTCGCTATTCGCAAGTGCAGTGCTAGTGTAGGCATATATACAAAGAAATAGGTATGATGGCCGGGCCTGATGCATGTTTTTCCTTTCTCTCTCTCTTTCTCTAACTCGCTATCTCACTTTGCCCATCGCGTACTCCGATTGTTTTGACAAAAAGTTGACTCGTTCGCAGCATTGTCCTGTGCAAAAAAACCTAATAAACATTTTTTTCTTGGTTAAATCGAGTGTTGTGCGTGCTCTGTTTTGTTTGCTGGTTGGCTGAACCAACTGACACTTGGTTTTCTCTCAATAATGCCAATGCGACTCCGATTTGTGCCAATTCCGTATGTGTGTACGCACGCATGTAAGTTTGCTGCATTGTGTAAACAAGACGAATATTTTACTCGAAAGTGTCCGTTTTCCTGTACCGTGATGTTCTCTGTGATTAACATTTTATTGGCTAATAGTTCCCTATAATTGATACTGTCAGCGATAACACATAAAATTGCTTGCTTAAGCTTCTACTAGTCAAATTAGTTGAATAAAAATATATATTAGTATTTAACTTGCTGTAAATGCTAGTTTTATCTGTCAAAAATGGTTTTTTATATCAAAATCCTGGAAAGACTATGTGAATCACAAAAATTTTCATTCTAATATTTGTTGAAAATTAATCTCTAGTTTTTGATCCAACTTTAAAATTTATCAAAAGTTTGTTTCTTTCTAGGTAAAACAGTGAATGAATAATTGAACATAAGAAATTTGGTCTCATAAGAACTCAATATCTTCATGGAAGTTCTTCGACTTAGTAAGATTTTATGTTTAACTCAGAATAGGACTTTGATTAGTCCATTTTCTTATGTACGTTTTAATGGAGCACCAAGAACATGATAGATCTGAAGACATATAGAAAAATATACCTAGTAAAGACATGTCAGGAGTTTGGTTGGTGTAAAATGATACAAGTAGATTTAACACCATCAGTTATTATCTCACTAACTGTATGTAAATAATTATATAAAATAAATTGTATAAACTATTACAATTATGAATAAAAAATCATCAAACGGAGGGACAAGAATGAACAACTTGCATAATTCAAGAGCAAAATTAAAAACAATCAATGGCAACCATAAAGTATGAAATAATCTAACATATAACAATTTTTCATACATTATTTAATAAATAACATTTATTCTTTATTTTTCAGTTACCTAATACTAATGGTGGGTACAAGCCAAATGAGATGTTTACAACTGAATTTGAAATAAATGAAACACCACATAGTGCACGGACGCTACTGACCAAAGGTTATGTGCAAGATGAAATCAATTCCTTTTCGGGTAATTTTCTTTACATTATGCAATTTAACAACTGTCAAATTAATTTGACTTAAATTTTAAATAATTTGTAGGTGCGACAGTATCTACGCGAGGGCGATTCATGACAGAACAGGAAAAAATTCGCTGTCCCCATGAACGTCCTCTTTACTTATTTATTCAGGGTCACTCAAAGCAAAACGTGGATTGTATGTAAAAATGATAAATTAAATAAGTATTACTTACATCAGTTGAATAATTCCACTTAAAATTGAAATTTTTATTGCAGTGGCTTTACAAAAAATTAATGATATCATCAAGACTGAACAAAGAAGTTCTGTAAATAGACCTAGTCGATTTACAAATTTACCTCCACCGTTGATGAGCTTGCAATCTGGAGTTCCAACAGTAGTAAGGCTACTCTATGATAAAACTTACAGTTATGTGGTAAATGTATAAATGTTATAATAATATAATCTTTCTAACTTTTAAAATAGGAAAAACTCTGTATTGGTATTGAAAATGCACCTCAAGGATTCGACTTACGAGGACGCATAATTGGAGCAGATGGCGCTAATTTGTTATATATTCGAGGAGAAACCGGTGCTACTGTAACTTTAAGGGGAAGAGGCTCACAATTTGTAGATCCTGGTATGGGAACAGAGTCACCCGAGCCTCTTCATTTATGTATAGAGTGAGTGTATGATAGGTTTCAAATTTTAAAAGGTTATTTCTTATTTTTATTTGATAATCAATTTTTCAGACATCCAAATCCCTTAGCGCTGCAAAGTGCAAAACAATTGGCAATAAATTTGATTCAAACTATACAATCAGAACTGCAGTCTTATATTCAACAGCAACCTCCTCCAGTTCAATCGCAAGTTATTCAACAGACACAGTTACAACAAATTCAGCCTGGTAAACCTTTCTTTAAATTATAATTATACAAATAAATATACAATGAAACTTGAATGAATATTTTACAGCTCAATTTCAAACGGTGAATATAGGTGCTCTAGCTCAGCCAAATGTTGTAACAATTCATCAAGGTATTTAACAAAACTGTTTTTATTTTAGGTCCATCATATTTTGATTGTACTTATATAACTTTTTTTTAGAATTAACTCAACATCCACGAAGTAGTGTTGTCACGATACCAGCTACGATTCTCACTGCAACTGTTGCTGCACCGGTACCAGGTCAACTACCTTCAACTGGAGTTCATGTCTCAGCTCCAGGGCCAATCCCACCTCCTGTTTCTATGGCTGAACCAGCTCAAGTATGCACAAATGTTGTAAATCTTTATTATTCAATAGTCAAATTCAATATGTTTTCAAATTGAAGGTTCAGTTAATAGCTCAGCCACCACCAGGCATTAATCAAGTACAATATCAGATACATCCAGGTCAGCCAATGTCAATACAAAGCATGCCTCCTCCTCCACCACCAGGCTCTCAAAATTCAGCTCAACCAATGACACAAATGTACGTGGTTAGCCAACCACCACCACAGACTACATTTGTTAGCAGTTGTGCACCTATCAATGGAGCAGTATCTTATGTGTACACTCAAACCAGGCCAACTACACCGTCTCAAAGTATCATAGAAACGGTTAATGTTAATTTGCAGCAGCCACCCCCTGCTGGTAAATAAAAAATTTAATTTTTCAAAGATTATAAGTCATTTCATTTTGTGTTAAAAATGAATCAAATTTTTTTTGTTATAGGTACAATAAATATAAGTCAACCTGCTGCACCTCCTTCATTATTGCATCTTCAATTTCCACCGCGTTTCCCCACTAATCAACCGCCTCCGCCGATATCTCAAACGTATCAAATTCAATATCAACCAGTACAAACTTCGGTTGCCCAAGCACCAACGCAATTCATTATTCATGGCGAACATAATGGACCACCACCTACACAAAATCATGAGCAACCTCCGCCACAGCACTTAGGAGCTCCATTTGAGGGTCAACACCCACCACAAATGCACATGCATCCGCCACCTCCGCCCTCATCTCAGGGCTACATAGTGTCGACGACGCAATCTCTTCAAGATAGAGGTCCTCCACCACAGCAACCTATGCCACAGTCAGTTACAGAAATGCAGCATCCGCCTGATGGCGCAGTTGATTCAGGGATGCCTCCTCAACCAGTTCCTCCACCTCAAATGGTTCCTCCTCCATCTGTCAGTCAAATGCCACATTCCATGAGTATTATAACTAGTGTTCCACCACCATCTCATCCCCCTCCTCAAGCAGCACCATGGTTATATCAAGGACAACCAATGTCACAACCTCCACCACAAGCGCAAATGCCAGTGCGTATTTTATTAAAATAGTTGAGTTGAAAATTTAAAAAAAAAATAACAAATATTTTTATGCTTCATAGGTTCCGATGCCTCCTCCTAATGTGACACACCACAATATTCCACCTCCTGAGATGCAACAACCACCACCACCTCAGATGCAATATCATCCTCAGCAAGTACATTATCAGAATAATCAGATGCAGTCGCAAGTGCATTTTCCTCCCCGTCCACCTCCACATTTTGAACCAAATGCAGAACTGACGGAACACCACAAAAATCAAGGTGTGAAAAGAAGATTTTCTGAAGTAGATGGTGGACCTGTAAGCATACTCGAAAAATGTTTTTATGAAAATGTTCAAATAACTTGATTTGACTAATGAAAATATGTATATATTTATTTTAGGATTCAATGATGCATCAACTCAATAGACCTCCAACGCAACGGCATGGCACTGGGTAAGCTGAAAATTTTTTTCAACTGATATAATTAGAATAAATATTAATTAGGTAAAAAAATTAAATTATTAACTATACAAAATTCATTTTATATTTCTATACTAACTTATATATTTAAGATAACATCCACATACCAATCCTATTTTTATAGAATAATCTTTACCGTTCTACTAAACCCTCCTTAGTTAAATTAAAGAATTTTCCATTATTTTGAATTGTTTCCTTTTAATCAAAACAGAAAACTTCTTGTCGAAATATAGATATAAAATTTGAAATTTGAAAAATAAAAAAATTTTACTTTTATGAATCCTATGTTATCAATATTTTCAATATTCATACTATTGCGAAAAAAAATGAAAAGTGAAGTGTGTATTTTTAAGATTTTTATTTTTTATAATTTTTTTATGTAAAAGCACTTTATTAATTCATCACATTTTCATTATTCATTTTTATCACCCAGCAAAGTAGTATCTCTGCTTTCTGATTGTTTTTTTTTTAAATTGACTAAAAATTTGAGCATAAATAAGTAACAATATTGTTGACTAGTCAGGTATGTGACCATACTTTTTAATAAGAAATTTTATTTCTAACTTATCAAAAGCATTATGTTATCCATAATTACATGTTTCATCGAAATATGATTTAATGTACATCAACTAACAAAATTAGTTGAAAAACAAAAAATCTTTTTGAAATGAAGATATTAGTCAGGCTGCCCCTAAAAATATAGAAAGTAATTAAAAATTAAGATTCAATAAACTATTATTTATGTATCTGCAATTATATAAAACAATAATTTTTTATGAAGTGAATTCAAATGAACAAAATGAATTTGAAGGTTTCTTGTGACTTATATGATTGCAAATACATCTACTTATCATTTTGATATTTTCAGAGCTCTTGAAGATTAATGAAAAGAGAGTCCTATTAAAGAAAAATAAATTGAGTGCCAATTTTCCGTACCTTAAAATCGTTAAATTAAATCAATTAAGAATGAATCAGCTTGGAATTTATGTGAATAACAATCTACAAAAATTAATAAAAGTCGAATTTTTTTTCAACTTTTTATTCAAATTCATATAATATAAATTTTGAATAATCTAAAACATAATTTTTTAAATAGATAGAATAAAATAAACTTGTGAAGTTTTATAGAAAAATAAATCGTTTTAGTAGCAATATTTTTATCTCATATAATGAGAATATTTGCTTTAAAATATCAAAATTCAAAAATTCAAGCTGGTTTTTCAGTTTTCATATTAAATTATAGCAATAACAAATATTTAATTGTTGATGATTTTATCAAGTAATCTTTTTTAAAAATTACTGGTCAAATTCATGATCAAAATATTAAACATGAAATCTTTTCCATTTCCCAAAAGGTTTTCTTTAAATATCAACAGTAACTAAATTAACTGTAAATTAGAGAATTAGAGAACTGATAAATCTGAAAGTTTTTCATGAAATTTTCAATTCATTTTTAAAAATAAAAAAACGTTACAATTTCAAAATAAGTATAAAAAAAAGGAAAAACATGCATTGGCACATAAACACCCGCGCTAATGAGAGTCTGTGACTCCCTTGTTCAAGCAGAGAAGCTGAACAGCAGCAGCAACATCAACAACAGGCACAACAGCAGCAGCAACAACACATGATGCATGGGCCACCAGGAGGCGCAGGAGCAAACCATCAAGCGGGCGAGCGCCCAGGAGGCAAGCAGCAACTGCTTATGCCACCGCCCTATGCAGGTCTGTAGCATTCATCGCCCTGTGATGTGCAAACACACAATAATGACATTTTTAGGCCAATGGTGATGAGGATTAGGATGAATTCATGTGACGCAATATATAACACCTTCAGAGCAGTTTTATCATACATTTTTTTCATTTTAATATTATACATATTTTAACTGTTTTTTGTTTTCTATATTCATAATATTATTATCAAACTAAATTTATTTAAGTTTTGAATAAGATGAATTTTTCGTATTAAATATTAAAAGAACTAAATTTAAGCCCATTTCACTTAGTGTTTATTTTAACAGCTGCTGGCGCACCATGGATATCTAATGGTCTTAAATCAACATTTTTAAATGACTATTAAGTTTTTCATAGAGTTAGAATATTTTAAAAAATTTTTAATAATTTCAGATTTAACAATTTAAAAGTTTTAGATGCAAGTATTTTTTGAAGCTTGAAAACTATTCTATCTTTAACATAAGATAACATTATCTATTTAAACAATATATTTCTCATGCAATACTATGCAGCAACTCCAACTTCCAGTGAGTCATTCTCAACTGTTGGTTTGTAGATATTGAAGCCGATCAACACGTCAAAGGAACATCAGGATCCACTGGAACTATATTGTTTGTTATGAGTAGATTTGTTCGGCACACGTTTTTATTCAATACAATCTAGTTTGCTTTTAGCTTTGCCTTTCCATATTGAAGCGCATCGACCAAATATTATGCAAAAAAGAATGGGAGATTTTCGTTGTTACGATTTTTCTACAGTTTTGCAGTCGACGATGACGATAGACCTTATTCGAGCTACATTTCCGAAAGCAGTTTTTCATTTGTCTCGATTACATTTTCGCTGATTTCCAAATTTACCTATTTCCCATATAATTTGTTTTTTTTTGGACGTCATTGTTATTAGATAACTGTTATAATATTTTCCCAGCAGAGTTTACATCTGTGCTATCTAGATGTTCGTTATTTTTCATAATTCTCAATGTTTACTTTTTTGTTGTATTTGTAAAAGCTAAAAATTATTTCTTTTCTAAAACACTTGCATAAAAAAATTTTTAAATTTCGTTTCATTTAGCTATAAAAACTGAAATAAAATACCTTATAGTTTACACCTGATATTGAAGTATACATGCAGAAGACGTAACCAGTTGGGATATATGCTGTGCACGTTAATACCAACGTAGCTTTCTTAGATAAATAATTCTACAAATTTCACAAAACGTCTTTATAGATGTGATTTCGAAATTAAAATTTGATCCGTTTCTAATTTTTTGTTCATATCTTTCACAGGTGATAGACGCAACATCTCAGGACAACCCTTTACCGATCATAATTCTGGTAAGAATTTTACAAATATAATAAATATTACTTTTCTCAAAGGGTTCTGAGGGCGGGTAGTGAAGATTATTTTATTGATTATGATTTTTTTTTAACTCAGGCTGTGAACAACCGATAAACGGTGAACTCGAACAACAGCGCAATATAGGTCCTCCACCACCTCAACCGCAGCAGCAACAGTCACCTCAACAGCAGCAAGGCCCGCTGCCACCGAATTCTCACGCATTAGGTATACCTCCTGGCGCACAAACACCTTGGCAGGCTCATTTCGCACGATTTCCTCCGAATAGACCGCCTCCTATGCCTCGTGATGGAGAATCGCATCATGTACCGTTCCATGGTGCTCCACCACCACAAATTAATCTACCGCCACCTCAGCTTAGACTCGTACCTGGTATGTTCATGTCTAATGATGAACTTTTATTCAATATGATTACTCATGATTTTTTTTAATCTTTGTTGCAGGATCTGATGATAATCGGTCGCAAGGTCAAAACATATTACCAACCGATCACACACCAACCAGTGAATATGGAAGTGCAGGATCTCATCCCTACGGTAAACGGTCGGCTTCGGCCATTGCATTGGTACAGTCGATTTGCAATCCTCCTCCACCTCCACCATCGCCTCCGACTTATACTCAATCACGACATCCGCGTGGACCGCAGATGCATCGATTCCGACTTCCTCATCATCATCAGCAACAACAGCATCACCATCACCACCAGCAAACTGCGCAAGGTGTATCGCCACCTTGGATGAATTGAATAGATCGATCAGTCCAAGGGCGTATAGATGCAAACCGATGAGTTGGTTTTGTTAAAATAATGATTTATTTTATTTTATTTTATTCTAAAGTTTGTCACGATTGAGCTTGTTGCTCCTACATAAATTAATCCACTAAGCTAAATTGATTTTTACTTTTTGTAGTTAATGATGTGGAGCTAAAAATATCGGAAAAGATTTAAATTTACCATTTAAAAAATTTTTTTTGAAAATTTACATTTTCTAGCAAAGTTTTTGACTTCAATTAAGGCATTCAAAAAATCTGAAAACAAGTATGAAATTTCATCTTTCTTTTCGAGTATTACTTGCACAGAAAAAATTCATTGTAAATAAACTGTGGTTCGCTGATACTTAATGAACTAATGTAAATATAAATTATTTTTTCTAAATATTAGAGTAATTTGAGAACATGGTTGAATGCATGCTCATGTGAAAGTTTAACTTCATAGAAAAATTGACTATTATGAATTTACACGTCTACTGAATGAAAAGACTAATGCATTTTTTTCAAATATTATATGATTATGAGTGATTTTTTGCATAGCAAAAAAAAATTAATTTTCATTCTTTATTTTGGTTGTTAAAATTTTATTTTGTAAATTAACATATCGTTCTCTCGAAAAAATAAATTAACGCAAAACTAAATGCCCATGCTAGTGAATGTAATAATTATAATTAATAATAAGATGAATCGTGAGTCTTAATGATTTTCTTCATGATAAACAGTTGAAAAATGTAACGACGTGCGCGCCAAACTAATACTCCTTTTGAGTTTTAATTTGTTCTGCGCAATTACATAAGTCCTACATCAAGTTGATGAATATTAAGCGTACCTTTTAATATTTTTTTAAATATAATTTGTAAATAAATAAGTTAAAGGATGTAAAATTACTAGTATAGAGGCTTGAATATTAACTTCACATGAAATCAACTTTCTCCAATTTTCTTTCATATTAGTGATATTCGTTAAAAAAAAATGAAAATCTAAAGTAGAATGAAAATTGATTTTTCAAACTTATGTGATATACACATAATCATAAATAATTAAGAAAAATAGCTCAGCGTACTTTATTCAATAGTTTATATTAGTTACTGAACATTAAATTTAGTCAAAAAGTATATATCAAAATCTTTGCATGATTTTGCGTTACTTTACATGCGATGCGTAAAATATTGAAATGTGTGAGAGGATGTAGTTCTAATACTGCATTGTTAATACACAGTTGAATTTTTATATTCAACAATTAATTAGTAATATATATTTTGTACATATAGATAAGATTGTGGTTGAATATTTGCAATAATCAATTTAATACGTTGCCATTGAGTGATCAAGAAGAAAGTTGAGGGATAAACTTACGACGATTCTATGAATTCGTTTAAATTTATAAATCGCTGACTTTGTAGATAAATATTTTATGCTATGCGATTGTAATTTAAGAAAGTCATACTTTGTACATAAAACGTTATAGATTTTAAGTTACAAAATGAATTATTCGAGCAAGAAATAAACTAAGAGTCAGGTATATACATGAATCACAGTGACGACGTTCATTTCTCAATGTTGAACATTTTCTCAGTGTGCTAGAACTCACGTCGCAGACACACTTCCACACCCGACCGAGGACTTAGATATAGCATGTTGGAAACGTATTTTCAGCATATTATCTATTTATAAATGCGTTGTTATCGAATTGTATTTTATATTTCAATTAGCGAAAAAAAAATAAAATTAAAAAGCGTAATGAAAATAAAAGGAAAAATCATTATTCCATTAACTTGAAATTAGTTGCAAAACGTTTAGTAGTTTACTTTAGGTTATATTCATTTTATAAAAGACTTCTTAAAGCTATAGTTATTACTTTTTTTTATTGAATTACGGACTGTTTGAATGAAAACTTTTCAAGTCCAGTCATGAGTGAAAGTGTAACATCATCCTCGTCACGCACAGAATTATCCAAGGCATTTGAACGAGCTCGCCTTCGTTTTCCAAAAAATTTTGGGCTCGAGAATGTCGAAAGACATGTTAACAATAATTATGAAGTACTAAGTAAGTAAAATATGAATAGCAATCATACTTATGTCCATGTTTTTTCAGAGCAAAGAATTATCCGCTTGTCCGGTAACAGCACCAGAAAGCATCAATCATATTTCAGAATCATTAGTTGATAACTCAACACCATTACTTGTGGAAGAGCCGTCAAATTCTAAACTAGAATCCACGTTAATTGATCTAATGAACAATGTGGAAATATCGTGTAGTCTTTGTAGCTTATCCAATAATTCAAAAAAATCACTTGAAGAAACAGCACCTAAACCGAAAATTGTTGAAAGTACTGACAGAGATGAAGAATTTTCAGACATAATAATGAAAAATTACGATGAGGTGCCTATTTATAAAACTGTAAATTATTGGAAGGAAGACTCCGATCGGAACGACGATCAAGGTACATATTTGAGCTATACTCAAAAATTTTTAATTAAAAATTAAATAATAAAAATTGTAACTACAGAGTCCGATATCGACTCGAGTGCCAGATTGTCAGAAAATTCGCGTAAATTCTACTATAAAGAGCTGCGACGCCGCGATTCAGCTGCATGGAAAAAAAAACATCGAGGTCACCGGCCGACTTTTAGGAGAGCTTCTCCTCTAAAATACAACAGTTTTTGTGAAGACGAGAATAAACTTCATTCATCCGATTGTCCATACTACAATCTTTACAGCAGCAGCCAACAATGTCACAACAGTCGTCATAAGCACCATCTGCGACACCAACACTGTTGCTGCCACAGCTACTGTTGCTACGATTGTTGTCATTCACGCTGCTGTAACAAATGGTAATTGTTATCATAAATTGGTAAAGTTTTGATAACGATTTTGAATTTCGATTTCACAAAAAAACGTAGTGGTCTGGACGGCGCGTTCCAACGACGATCAAAACGTAGCAATCGATCACGCCTGTGCTCTTCATGCAAACGACGCGACGAGCACAGAGTTCCATCCCGCGACTCCGGAGTGTTTAGCAATTGCGTTCACGACGACGAAATTAAAGGATCTTTGAAAGGACTGCGGAGTAAAGATTCCCTGACACTAATGCAAAGCAAGTATCGATCGACGCAAAAAAATTGCGCTAATAGATACTCTCGTCATCCAAACGAAGAGACTTCATTTATAATTGACGAGGATGATTCCAGACGTTACATTAAACATCATGCTTATTATTAATTATGTACCTTTACTTTTTCCTACTTTTTGACTTTATTTATCATCATCATTAATTATGCTATTTTTAAATAACAATGATTCTATTATTGATTTACTTATTTATATATATATTTCATACACTGCAATTTTACAAACAATTTTATAGTAAAACATATTTTCTTGATTATATAAATGAAGCTTTGGATTCAAATTATTTCAATTGTTTTTTTTTTTTTAGAGTTATCAATACTCTCTGTTTCTTTTACGAGCGTACATATAAAGTATGCATAAGCAGTACATTAAGAAACGTAAATTTCTTAGAGTTTCATTCGTCGGCTGCGCCAACATCATCATTGTTTTCTTCGTCGTTTATATCGCCACTATCTTCTGCTTGATCGAAATCATCTAAGCCATCTCTGAACGAGCTAGGCTTTGCGTTCATATCGTCGACTGGCAACTTATCGGGCTCACCCATGGAAAAATTAAAGGTCGTCACCGAACCGTATTCGCCGTAATAATCAATATCTTTGAAAAAGAAGACGTTGTTCAAATAGTGTATGGATGAAAATCAGATTGAAAGGAGGAAGAATCGCGAGCGCACCTGAGCGACTTGGAAAATCATCTATGTGAGCGCCAAACATTTGATTGATTTGTTGGTCGTATTGCGGCACGAGGTAGCTCATGCCAGATAACTTTCTCTCGCGGTAACTTCTATAGGCGCGCTTTTAAGAAAAAAAGAAACAACTCACACGCAATGCCGTTATTTAACGTAAGCGAAATATGCAAATGGGATGATTTTGTCACCTGCAAGACCGTTGCAGCCTCGTTGGCCATTTCCAAGGTAACACCTTTTTGCTCCCACATCTGCTGTAGCCACTTCTCCGGATCTATGTATTGGGCTATAGATTCGGGTGGAATGACGCGACGCGCGTTAGTGTGTTATGAGAGTCGGACTCGTATAATCATTATCATCATACCAGCTCTGGCGGCTCTCAGCTTCTTTCTGGTGTAGTAGCCGCGATACGCCGTCTATAATCCGCAAAGGTTAGCAACTCAGCAGTTATTTCTTATTCTCTAATTAAAATAAGATTAGTACTTGAATTATGGTAGCGGCCAAGTGAGCTTCGCTGATCGTAACTCCGGTTCCTCTCAAAATCTCCATGGTATCCGTAGCGGCCTTTTGCCAAGTGACTTTACCCAGCTGCTCGGCCAGCACGATCCTCTCGCGGTGGCCACGAAACAGCGCCTTCGAGAGAAAAATCGCGATAATCTTGCGACGAGCTGGACGGAGTTGGCTGTATCTTACCTGTATCTTGACAGCTGCTTTCTCGGCTTGGCGTTTAGTCGCTCCGGTATGCATGAGTATGTCGTAGAGCGACACTTCCGTTTGCTCCGACAGCACCTCGTCTGTAAAAAGTATCGAGACGCGTGAGGTTTGGCCAAGCTCGGGAAGTATAAGCGCGAGCGCGAACCGTCGCAGCCGCAGTCGAGCTTCCCGTCCTCCATGGCGTTGAGGTAGACCCTGAAAGCTTGCTGCAGCCTCGGCGCCACCGCCGAGATCTCCTTCAATTTCAAGCCGGTGCCGCACAAAATATCGATTATGTGCTCGCTCTTCATCACCACGTTGTTCACGACTTTCATGGCCACTGCGCGCCCGTGACCGAGGATAAAGTTAAGAGCGAGAAAGAACATGGATTATTGGGCCTATTCAAACATTTTCCCTTTCAATGGCGAACCTTTGGCATTTTCTCGCGTTATCAGTAGACTCGCCAAGTAATCGGCAACGAAGCTGTAAATGTCATCCGGCTGATAGCGAATAACCTGAAATCGATCCGATCCGGTTCGTGTACTCGCAGTCGCGCGTCCGCCGACGTCCTTTTTAGCTATAGCTTACCTCTCGCGCTATATCGGAGCTGAGTTCGTGCAAGCCATCGGGCACTTGGCGCATGTATTTGCCCGCGGGATGGTCCAGACTCGGGCACTCGTCCATTGCACTTGAGCAGTCCTGGAGGCGGATGATGAGCGATAGCCGATAGGTTAGATCGATATGGCCAACGTCGGCTGAGCCGCTTTTTACGTTTTACGTTTTCACGCACGCAGACCTATTGTAGCGATCGATATTATTTCGCCGGTACTCGGTGACTTTGCCTTGAACGTTTTGTACCGCGTTTATTTTGCTTCGTCCGGGAGCGAGCGGGAAAAAACAAAGAACGATCAAAACACGAGAAACGTGTAATAATGAGAAAAGGTTTAATGGACTTGTTTTTTCGAGTTTTACAATGACGCTTTGACGCATGTCTCGCGGTGACAAATATTCTCGTTGCTCGAGAAGAAAAAAAGACAAGAGATTAGAGTGTCCTCGTTGTACAGTGAAATGATTCTTAACGATCAGTGATTGCTGCAACGCGATGGTTAATGCGTCTATTACGAGATAGTTATTACGTAAAAAATCTATTTTTGGCCAGCAGCGCAAATTAATGCACTTTCCGGATGCATCGAAGGTTTCATAGACTTTATCGCTTAAATTATTATATACTCGCGCATTCAGAGATATTCAACGTTCTTCTAACAATTTGACGATGCGAATGAATTATCATCCGCTGAACGATCAGTTTAACCAATTTTTTCCTCCTCGCCATTTTAAACCGAAAAACAAGTATAGAGAGATATTTGCTGAGAGAAGATCGGTATGTACTATGGCAATGATTTTTTACGAAATCACGCTCAAGTATTGTTACTACGTATTCCTGTATATATGTATAGTTTGCGAATAAGCTTAATCAAATGGAAACATGCCGTACGAGCTAGAGTTGCGAGAGGGGACGAAATTGAGGAAAAGTCGACTTGTTTTCTATTGTTCCAAAGACATCATTGACAATACGTTTGATAATTGCAACCTACATATTTCTAGTGTTCGTTTCAGTTCTATTTCTCATTGACTAAAGTAAACAAAAACGATTGTATTACTTATACAGGCCGATAAAGCAGCTCGCATTGCACGTTGATACCGTTTGACATGGAAAAAAGTTAATGATAAATAATTATCTCGGCTGTTCTTTATTTAATATGCCGCGGTTTTATCTACGAGAGATCTCGAAATGTGCGAGAAAGAGAGAGAAATGAATTTGTCAAAAGTCGCGTTCAGCGATTCTCCACGTGCACGTAGCAGCACAGCCGAGAGAGCAGCGAAAGGTCGACAAATGCGTGATTCGACGGCGACAATTTCGGCATATCTCAAATTAGGAATAAATGATATAATCATCCTTTTGACAGCATCATCGGCTCGTGCGCGTCCAATCCCCTCTCCATTTCCTTCTTCTCGAGTATTATTTACAAAGTTTAATCATATGGGCCGCGTGGAGCGGAACTGAACGAAGAGCGCGTGTGCCTCGCTCTCGTGTGTGTACAACGAGAACGAGCTGCGGCGCACATCGTACGATTCCCCCGACAAACGTCATCATAGTCAAATAAGCTGAGCAAAGTGCGAATGCGACTCGCGAGAGCCAGGCAAAATGTATTATATAGGTGACTGTCGCGACATCAGCAGAGCGCCAGGCAGCTATTGCTATAGGACGACGGGCCTCTCGCGGCCTATCGCGTCGTCGTGCGCCGTGCGCTCGTGTCAGTCAGCTCGCAGCGTTCGCGTAATCGCCGTTCAGTCTCGGCAGCGATTTGCGGGATCGAGGCGCGCGCGCGGCCAGCCACGAGTGTTCGCCTACTGCTAAACGCTGCACACACATATCTTTTCATATATAATAATAAAAGTTAACGTGGTCGAGACTCGCTAGTTGCTGTGCCGTTCGAGGCGCGCGTTCCTCTGCTTCGTCGAGTGTGCTCGGTGTCTGCACACGCGACCGTTCGACGAGACCTTCGCGGGTTCTGCGAGGGAGGTTACGTGCTCGAGTTGCGCAGCCTAGAGCAAGCCAAATAACATGACACTAATGCTCGATCTTGCTCTTAGTCAGATCTAAAACAGCTAGCAACATACTCTTACTATAGCTGTAGTACAGCCGCTTTGTGCCAATGTTTGCATCTACTGCTAGTGACTGCTGCTGTTGCTACTGCTGATGCTGTTATTCGACGCACGTCTGATTGCCGCTTCTTCTCCTCGAGCCAATGACTTTTTATCTGCGTTGGAAAATAATAACATGATCGTGTCAGGTGAATTTCCGCTCGAGCTCGACTTTTTCAACATTCTTCAATATTCCTAACAAAGTGCCTATCAACATTTCCGCTTTTAATTACGACTTGGCCATGTCTTTTAACGTACGCTCGCTGTAAATACTTATTACAATTAGACGTACACACAACACAGTGCTCTTGCACGTAGCATACCTATATACATGCAAGTATACACGCACCTCGAAGAAGAAAGTTTTGCTTTTTTTATTTCGACGAGTACCTGGTGCCTGCAAATCGCTGTGCTACCTACTCAATGTGAAAGTAAAAGTCGCGTACTTTTTCCATGAACTTCATTAATATGTATTTATGTGAACTTTCTTCTGATATTGATCTCAAAACTATAGAATACTTAATTTTTCGACTATGGCCATGATGCGTTGACTTAGAGACATTTTCATTTGAATATTCAATGCTTACCATTGAAGAAGCATTTTTAACGCACATGTTTTATTCACTGATGACAGTGACATTACACCATTTGCTTAAGCATTCACACAATTTTTTTGTTAAATCAAAAGTATTAATTGATAGATAAAAATATTTTTTTATTGTTTTGATATCAACCGTACAGTATCAAGTCAAATGTCAAGAGTAGCTGTCTATTGCAAAGTCATTTGCATTAAAATTCATTTCTTATGAACATCCATTATAATGCAACAAAAACTTATTTTACGTGTCATAATGCACTTATGTAAAAACTTCTGAACGAATTTGTGTTTAAATAGAATCAGAGAAAACTATTGAGCTCAAGTTAAGTCAATAGAATTCTCATATTTGTTTCGAGGAAAATGAAAAAAAATTATTATACTTTTTTTACAGACGATAAATTTGCTTTGTTCAAGTGATGAAAATAACTTTCCATCATTGGTACTATTAAAAAACATTAAATGATCTAAAGTTATATAGCACACAAATTTTTATATTTTTGTCAGAGACTATACTTTTTTTATTTCACTAGATTATCTTTGTACTAATTTAAATTTACAATTCGTACAGCAATGGGTCGCAAGTCAAAATAGGCATTTAAAATTATTTTCTTCTTCTCAGTTAAATAGTTTGTTTTAGCAAGATTATCTTAGTAAAAATCCTAATATTTTTAATCTATTTTTTTGTCAAAATCCATTTATGTGTTTCTGTTCTCTAAATATGTTTTAAATAATGAAGTGAATGGTGGATTATAACTGGCTGACGTAGACAGCTAATTTTGATATACTGACTCTGACATGTTTTATCGATTTTTTGAAAATTTGAAAATTGATTCTGAACAAAAAATATTTCAATGATATTTTTATTTGTAATTGGATTATATAAACGATACAAGAACATTCTATTAATAATAAGGAAACAAAATTTTTTGGAATAAAATTTATCTTTGAGTGGCTCATCTTGACATGCTAGTGAGAATATTATATTGGCGCTTCGAAGTATGCTAATTCTTGCGATTTAAATTTCTGCGTTATTCATGTTGGCCTTTAAAATTGTCTTGATTTTCAAAATGATTGTAGTCTGACTTGACATTATATTTACTGACTCATTATAGATATAAGATGAGATAATAATCATGACATATTCTAAATGTAGTAATATTGTTGGTCTTAATTACCTAAAAAATTATTATTTATCAAAATGCTGTTAACACTTAATCTATCACATAGTTGATAGAAAATAATTTTACATTAAAATAATAAAATTTATTTATTTCCAGTTAAAAATCCATCTGAAGAAAACAACTGCATAAGCTTAGTTTACAAAATTAAATATGAGACCTCAGAACTGTGAGAATTATATTTATGAAGAAATCATGGCTTCAAATGGCTATCCTGATGTTGCTCCAGTATCGAATAAGCAATCCAAGATAAACTCACCACCCTGTGAGTCTGGGAATTGTATGTGTGTGCTTGAATTAGCAACCTTTACATTTTATCTAATATACTGTTGAATCCCCTCAGAAATTTGTTTTAAAAAGAGTAGTGTGTTAATAACTTTCATGTAATTTTTTTGTGTGTACAATATAATCAATAACAAAAATAAGTAGATAGTAGATTGACATTTTTAACATGATTAATACATTAAAATATTTTAGAAGTTCAAGATCAGTTGAATCAAATCAATTAAAGTATTAAAAATCATTAAATATGGATTTTAATGAGATTAAATGAAAACTGATTTTTTTACAGTTGTAAACTTGTGTATTGTTATGTATGACTTTTTATGAACATTGCTAGAAACCCCCTTATTTGCAGTATTTCTAGTATTATATATATTTTAAATTACCTTGTTTGATTTTAAAATGTGGAAATGTTTTTAGCTATGCCATGGTTTGGCATGGATATTGGAGGAACTCTTACAAAATTAGTATACTTTGAACCAAAATATATCACAAAAGACGAAGCTGATGCTGAAGTAGAAACATTAAAAAACATTCGTCAATATTTGACAAAAAACTCAGCATATGGAAAAACTGGTCATCGAGATGCACATCTTCAAGTATGTAGATATTATAGCGTAAATAATTACATTCATACTTATACTCTTTATTACCAATAGATGGACGATGTATGCATTAGAGGCCGAAGAGGTACTCTGCACTTTATCCGTTTTCCAACAAGTGAAATGGGAAACTTTTTGGCCCTGGCTAAAGCTAAAGGAATGGCTACATTAGTCACAACAGTCTGTGCGACTGGTGGTGGAGCTTACAAGTTTGAAGAAAATTTCAATCAAGAAGTAAATCTCAGTTTAGCCAAATTTGATGAACTTGATAGCCTTATTAGAGGCATGTTGTACATTGATGCAACAAACCCTCATGAATGCTACTATTGGTCTGAACCTACAGATGAATCAAAATGCCAAAAAGTACCATATGATTTTTCCAAACCATATCCTTTTCTGGTTAGTACTATAAAATATCTTTATATTTATTGAAATAATTATATAATTCTTAAAAACAATTTCTAGCTTGTTAATATTGGATCTGGTGTCAGTATACTTGCTGTGCAAGGACCAAATGACTATAGAAGAATAAGTGGTACCAGGTATTAGTTATTAATTAAAATATTAAGCCAAGTTTTTAAATAAAATTATTATACATTTCATACCTCTTTTTAGTTTGGGTGGAGGTACATTTTTAGGATTATGCTGTTTACTTACTGGATGTAATTCTTTTGAAGAAGCTATTGAATTAGCAACAAGTGGAGACAGCACAAGAGTAGATAAATTAGTTAAAGATATTTATGGAGGAGATTACTCCAGATTTGGATTACCTGGAGATCTTGTTGCTAGCAGGTATATCAATAAATAAATCAATCTACTGTTGTACATACCAAGTTCTACGTAGCATGCATGAAATTAAAAATATAACAATTTCATTTCATGATTACATTTAATCAATTATTTATGGATCATGCTCTTTAATATTTATTTTCTCTGTAATAAGTATAGCTGTTAAAAAGTGTTTCGCCTTATATTTGCTGTTATTTTCTACATTAACTTTTTCATTATTATAAATCACTTCTTGTAGATGGGTCTTATAGTGTTTTTTTATTCTAATATTTACATGTATTTGAAGTCTTAACGATGTCTGTAGTTTCGGCCAGATGAATTCCAAAGACAGGCGGAATACTGTATCAAGAGAGGACTTAGCTCGAGCAACGCTTGTAACAATTACAAATAATATTGGTTCCATCACCAGAATGTGTGCCCTAAATGAAAAAATTGAAAGGGTTAGTATTGTTTTCTTATGTAAACGGATAAATGATATAATAGGATAGGATGTAAATGGATTTATGATATATAAATATTAATTAAATGTTACATTAATTGAAGGTGGTATTTGTTGGAAACTTTTTGCGAGTTAACCCAATATCAATGAAATTACTTGCCTCAGCAATGGATTACTGGTCAAAAGGAACTTTAAAAGCCTTATTTTTAGAACATGAGGTATTTTGAAATATATAAATAAAGAAACCATGTTTATAAATATAAATGTAATGACCATTTCTTTAAATTTGCAGGGATATTTTGGTGCTGTGGGTTGCTTACTGCAATTCACTGGAAATTCAAATCAACGATAATAATTGTTGTCAAAAACTGAGCTTGTTATGAACATTCTAACTCATTGAAGCAGTTAATGAATAAGTTCATTGATGTAAGATTATGTCTTCTTATAGTGGCACATAACGAATTGACATACATGTAAATAATTATATACATACATCATTCCAATTTCAAATGACGAAAAGGCAAAACTCTGAAATAATTCGTTTGTAAAAGGTATTATTGTAACTTGTCATTTCATCTTGATGAATGATAATAACCATTTTAAAAAATGTTGCACAAAATATTTGTGGATTAGCAATATTCATGGCCAAAAAGTTAATTCCTTCAGACAGGAATTACATAACTTAAATAGCGTTTTAAACCCGTCGTGTTTTATATGAAAAATTATATTTACAAATTATTGAAATGCGCTTGGTGGGATATAGATTTATTTTTCTAATGTTTTTTTTTTTTTATAAACTTATATGATAGAAAAAGTTCAGATAGAAACAGAGTATGTATGCTGCATAGTGTTGTGTTTTTTTTTCTTTTTTTTTTAACGTTGAATGTAATTTTGAAGTTTAAATTATTTTTATGGAAACATGAATGTTTCGTTGTTAGCTATTATTAGTAATACACTATTATTCAAATTAATGATTATAATATTTTTTTGATAATTTTGATTTTATGTTGATGAACTTGTACAGTTATTATTAAGGACGGTAAAATATTACTAAATTATGGTGTTGCAAAGAGAATTTTCTGAACTATAATTCTAAGCTACAAAAGTAATTATTTTATAAACGAATCGAATAATTAAAGTAATTTAATGAATAGTAGTTGAAGAAAACGTTAATTGATCTTACTTTTTGGCCTTAGTTAAAAATCTGCTTGATTATTGTGTACATCGAGAAACGATATTATCGCTCAAAAATGTTGTATGATGAAAGTTTATGTAAACAATTCACATCACATACTGAAATGTTATAGATAAATTATATTGAAAATTTTGATAATTAAAATCTAATTAAAAAATATTGCTTTCTTGCACTAAACGCTCGTACAAACACTGCATAATAATGATTATTTAATCATGTTTTATCTGGAATGGAATAGAAAAATTTAATTCTTTTTGTTTATTACCATTTGCTATCCGAGATTTATAAACATATTCAATTAAAATATGTTGCGTAAGGGAATGGCCATAAAAAAAGGGTTGACTTGTAATTTTAATTATGAAATGTTTATATTATAGGTGACAGTTTTTAACAACTAGGTGATTATGAATTATATTCATCAAATATTTATTTAGTTATTATTGTGTACATAGTAAAATTGAAAAAATATCGAAAAATACATATTATGTACAATGACTTTAAATTCATTGAATAAGTTGTACAAGAGAAATATTAGCGATAACTATATTCATTGTGATATTTACATACAACTCTCGATGCTCTGTTGATGCCCGCACAAAGTCTTCTTTGTTACATTATATGCATTGATAAAAATTGAAATTTAGAAAACAATTAATGGGAAACCCACAATTCAAGTACTTGTATCCGACAGGAAGCGTAAAATGTCTTTATATTGGATAACAAAGATTCACATTAATTAACATCTGCTTGTGAATTAATGTATATGATCGCCGATTCAACTACCAATCAATACATATACGCGTCGAAATTTTCATCAATTTTATACGTATACGTCTTGTTCGCACTATTTATGTATGTTATTTATGTATATGAAAATTTCTACATTTAACACAATGTAAGCCAGGGATATTATATCTTGGAAAATTGCAAAAGCACAGACACACACACGCACCAATGAACTATCTGTACAACTGTTGGGAGTCGCTAATGTGAGTCGACTAGGCCGATTATCAAGTCGGCTGCTTTCTCGGCCAGTGCAATGATGAGAGAATTCGGTGTACCCGATATTGGGCCTGGTAACACGCTGGCGTCGACTATTCTTAGGCCCTCGACACCGTGCACCCTGTTGATTGTAAATCAAAGCGAAGAGCCACGAGAGTTTATTATAGCCAACGAAATTGAGAATAAACGTTTGAAAGTTTATAAAACTAATGTACTGCTGATGAAATAAAAAAAAAACGATTGCGATCTACGATTGTTTAGATTTTATAATAAAAGCTAGTTTTTCAATACAGAATTGGTTTGATTAATTTATCTGACCTCAAGGACAGATCGACGACGCTGTCGAGCCGGTCCTCTCCCATGACGCAGGTACCGCTCGGATGGTGTCCCGTGATGCCGGCGACTTTGACGACGCACTCGGCATAATCGTCGTCATGATAGTCCTGCGGCAAGTGTCGACATTCCTTAAAGTCGGGCAGATGAGGCCTGGCGCCGAGCTCCTGGAACTTGGGCGTGTCGATTATGGCCAGACCCAGGCGTATGGCTTTGATCGAGCAATTCACGTCGTCCGGGTGCTCGAGGTAGGCCGGCTCGATGTTGGGTTGGTCGTCGATGCTGCTCGAAGCGAGGCTGACGTTGCCCCGACTCTTGGGCTGATGACAGAGCGACATGAAGGTGAAACCCTCGCTGTCCGTCGAATTATAAGTCGGAAACATCGATCTGAAAGTCTGCGCAATCAAAGCGGCAGATATGACAAAATCACGTAGCGCTAGGGGCTACTGTGGTCGGGACGAATTTTCAGCTTACATCGGTTCGATAATCGGATATGTCTTTGAGCAACTTTTCGTTGGCGGTGCCGATCGCCGCGAGAATGACCGCGCTCGTGTCGAGACGCGCGATCGCCATGATTCCATTAGTCGCTAGAAGCCCTACATGAACAAACTGAGATTACTCGAGCGAGCGACGCGTACTTTATAGTCGAAGCGCCGATCACAAATACATTTGTGGACGCGCGACAAGTCCTAATAGGCGAGCGGGAGGTTGCCAAAAAGTCGCTTAGAAAGGGGACATACCGACCACGGAGAGGGGAGTGGGTAAACGACATGATTCCTTACGTATTTTTCGTCGCTGAATCCGAATATGAAATTTATTTTACTCTAAAATGACAGCGTCATGGAGAAAAACGCGATTTTCATGAAAATCGCGGTATAATGAATTTCTCATTTTTTCGAGTTCAACTCGCTGTAACTTTTTTTGTAGTAAATATTTTTTGATGAAATTTTAACAGCATATTCTAGCACTCAAAAGGAAGAAAATAGCGTCAAGCAGGTGTCGAAAAGTTTATTAGAACCGAAGATATGATTTTTTGAACATAAAAAACGCGAATTCATGAATTCTTAACTTCGGATTAAAAAGTTGAGTGACGAAATTTCGAAATTCAAAATATAAACTTCACAGCACTAAAATATATAGTATAAGGAAGTTTTTGGTAAAATTTGAGATCAAAATATCAATTAGGGAAGAAATGGCAAGAGTTTCAATATTAGCGCACCGAGCGCGCGCTCGCCGCGCGTGCAGCGCAGCAGCCGCCTCGCCGGCTAGCGTTGCGCGTTGGCCCGTGTAATGGTGCATACAGTTTAATAATTAATATATGAAATCCATTTAATTGTTTTTATTGAACATATGGTCAAATCTCAAAATAAAATTCCGTTTCGTTAACAAAAAAAGGTGAAATTTTTTTTTGCGTGCCCAGTGGCCCGGACCCCCGCAAATTCTTCATAGGACCTCCAGGAGTGAAAAAAAACGCGTGAACATGAAATTTGTAAATAGTTAGTTTTTTTTGGGTCACTTTTGTGTTTTAGATGCCGAAAAGCCATCTTTTCACGCAAATACGACTTATTGCTCGATTTCCAAGTCGTTGAAAAAGTATAAAAAATCATCTAAAAATTTTAACTGACCACTGTATTCGATAGGAAATTTCCTCAGCTTTCCGATGGTACTATTTGATTTTCCGAAATATCCAAATTTCACCACGAAAATCGCCATCAAACATTGAGGGCTAAATATGTCGAAAAATGTAGTACGGAAAAAGTGCTTTCTATGGCTTATTTTTGATTTTTCCTTGGGAAAATGAAATTAATCGGAAAATCCAACTGCACCATGAGAAAGCTGAGGAAATTTCCTATCGAATACAGTGGTCAGTTAAAATTTTTAGATGATTTTTTATACTTTTTCAACGACTTGGAAATCGAGCAATAAGTCGTATTTGCGTGAAAAGATGGCTTTTCGGCATCTAAAACACAAAAGTGACCCAAAAAAAACTAACTATTTACAAATTTCATGTTCACGCGTTTTTTTTCACTCCTGGAGGTCCTATGAAGAATTTGCGGGGGTCCGGGCCACTGGGCACGCAAAAAAAAATTTCACCTTTTTTTGTTAACGAAACGGAATTTTATTTTGAGATTTGACCATATGTTCAATAAAAACAATTAAATGGATTTCATATATTAATTATTAAACTGTATGCACCATTACACGGGCCAACGCGCAACGCTAGCCGGCGAGGCGGCTGCTGCGCTGCACGCGCGGCGAGCGCGCGCTCGGTGCGCTAATATTGAAACTCTTGCCATTTCTTCCCTAATTGATATTTTGATCTCAAATTTTACCAAAAACTTCCTTATACTATATATTTTAGTGCTGTGAAGTTTATATTTTGAATTTCGAAATTTCGTCACTCAACTTTTTAATCCGAAGTTAAGAATTCATGAATTCGCGTTTTTTATGTTCAAAAAATCATATCTTCGGTTCTAATAAACTTTTCGACACCTGCTTGACGCTATTTTCTTCCTTTTGAGTGCTAGAATATGCTGTTAAAATTTCATCAAAAAATATTTACTACAAAAAAAGTTACAGCGAGTTGAACTCGAAAAAATGAGAAATTCATTATACCGCGATTTTCATGAAAATCGCGTTTTTCTCCATGACGCTGTCATTTTAGAGTAAAATAAATTTCATATTCGGATTCAGCGACGAAAAATACGTAAGGAATCATGTCGTTTACCCACTCCCCTCTCCGTGGTCGGTCAACCCTGTTTTTTGGGTAACCTCCCGCTCGCCTATAAAGTCGTGCGTAACGATGCGAGGATTATAAAGGCCTGCTTACCGTTGCCGAAAACGAAGTAATCCATGATCGTCGGCAATGACATGACGCGATTAAACGTGATGCTCACAGGGGCTTCGAGGTAGCCGTACATCGGAGTGGTGAAGTGATCCACGTAATTCTGGCCCACCGCTGGCAACTCGAGCTGCACAGTTATCTGCGAATCAAAATACACACAAAGTCCAAAGAGAATCGAGATGGAAGAGAGAAAAGTAGAAAGAGTCGAGGCAGGGCTTGCTCGGAACCTGGTGCTTTAGCAGTTGGTCGCTCGGACCGATACCCGACAGCATGAGCAGCTGTGGCGAGGCAATGGCACCGGCGCAGACGATGACCTCGCGATCGGCTCGAATTTCGTCGCGCGTCCCGTCGTCCTCGTAGCGAAGCCTCACCCCCTCGATCGAGTTGTTCGCGTCCAGGAGTATCTGCGCATACAAGCGTCGAACGAATTAAAAGCTCGTCGAGGTTCGTCCTAAGCCGGATCGCGGCCAGCCACCTTGGTCACTCGGGCGTTCATGACGATGTGCAAGTTTTGCCTGTTCCAAGCCTGCTGCAGATGCGATTGGAGGCTGCCCCAGCGCTTGCCGAATCGCACGCTGCTCTGGGCCCGCTGCACGGTGATGTTGAGCAGCTGCTGGGCCTCGAGGGCGGCGTCGGCCAACTTCCACTCGGGAGGCAGATCGGTCAGGGACATGCGCTGGGCCACTCGGTCGAAGTACGGCTGCAGCTCCGGATGCGTCCAGCCTTTGGGCCAGTCGGCGTAGTCCTGGACTCGGCCGAACGAGTGCACGAGATAGTTGAGCTGGCCGCTGCCCCCCAGGCCCTTTCCCCGAGGCAGCCGCTGCCGAGTGCTCAGCATTCCCCGGGTCGAGTGCAGCTGCGGCGTCGACTGGTAGCTCCAATCGACCTGCGACCTCTGCAGGGCCGGTGCAGCCAGGGGCACGTTCGACAGCCAGCCAAAGAGGCCGCCGGCTTCCAGCAAGAGGACGCTCGCGTTGGCCTGCTCCGAGAGCCGAGAGGCCAGGACGCATCCAGCGGTACCGGCGCCGACTGTCAACGATCGATCAAGATCAAGCTCGATCGCAGCGATTGGCCGCGACTCCTGCACTTACCAACGATGTAATCGTATTTTTTGATCAGCGGCCGATCGACGATGCTCGCTGGCGACTGCAGGTGGCGTCGAAAAACCAACGACACCAGCAGCACGCTCAGCGATACCATGGAATAATTCCACAGGGTTCGGAACATGGCTTCTTATCTGAAAGTAAAGTCGAGGCCGCAGTCCGGGGCAGTGTCCGAGCGGTAGACTGAACTCGATGCTCGCCCAACGGACACGTGCCGCTGCCGCTGCTTCTTGGCATGTAGGCCTCGATATTGGATTAGCGACAATCGATACCATGCGTGTATACGTGCGAGACTGTGTTGCTCTGGCTGCCTGCCCTCCTGTATCTAGTATGCGATGTATTCTCTATAGCTCGCTGTGCATGCGACGAGACAGCGAAACAACTGCACGAACCTCATTGATTTCCACAGGGCTAAATAACTCTTTTCTGCTTACTACCCAAGTATTTGCTGCTACCAGCTCGCCCGAGCGAATTATCGCTTAACTTTATCCTACATCGTTGCATTTATTATTTAGTGCGATTTAGCTGGCTCTCTGTATTGTCAACTTTTTCGACAACACAGTTGATTTTTTTACGCCAAATCTGATGATGAATAAAGGCAGTTCTCACTCGAACTGATTTTGAATAAAAAAATAACATTAAATCGTTTCAATTTAAGCATGGCTTTGAAAGAAGAACGAGCGACTATGAACGTCCTGTACGTTGCATGATCGTTTGATATGATCTGCGACATAAACAAGCTCGTCGCCTCAAAATCATATGATTATCATTTTTAATCATCCACTACGCTTTTTCCTTATTTTGGATCAAATATAAATTATTTATACAATTATACCAGAGAAATCATTACGGTTATTTATGACATTGATATATTTATCAGCTAAAAAGATTCAAATTCAAAAAAATTATTATTAAAAACTTGAGTTAAACTTCAATACGACCTTATAAATTACCAATGAATAATTTAAAAAGCTTATGCGCATAATTATGGTCCAGCTGTTAATTCACAAGGTGATAAACTTTTTGCCATGATAAACAGCAGCAATTGATGTGCTTTTGTCAGAAGATTGTACTAACACAATAAGCGCAATTGTAACTGCAGTCAATTTAATAATTTAAAGTCGTCATTTAACAAATTTTGATTTTTAAAGAACCTCCTGTAAAACATTTCATCACTTATATTCTCTAATCGTTGACTAACACAACTAAAAAAAAAGCTGCGAACGTAATAGCCGATACGATTCTATACCCATTTTAGCGCAATAGAGTATTGTTCCTTTTAAAATTGATAATCATCTAGAATTACAAAGAAGTATTCTTTCAATAGAGCCATAAATAATAGTTTTTTAAAGTTTTATAAGAAATGTACTGACCATTAAACCTAAAAGGGTTATAGAAATCATAACGAAGAGTAAAATAAATAAAAGAAGATTTTGGGGGATATGTCTGAAATACGTCGGTTGATCCTTAAAAATAAATGTTTAAAATTGAGACGTATACAGTACCATATATTAAGGTACTTAAAAAAATTACAAACAAAGTTAAAAATTATTATTAAATAAAGTTTTAAGTAAGAAGAAATAATTTTAAAAATTATTTCTCAGCAAAATTCGTGATCCTCGGCTATCTTTGTCATTATTTTGTTCACATGTTCGTCGGTTTGTTTATTTCGTTTTACTTTTACATCTTGACATGCAGTCCATAACTTATTGAACCTGTAGCTACAATAACTTCGGCTTTTTCAATGAATTAAAAATTGTACAAGCAAACTTACAAGATTACGTTGAATTTTCCGACCATAAAAGCGATGAAAGTCATTAGGGCGGTAGTACCTGCGTACTGCAACAATTCGCACGATACGAACGTCATCATGCTAATATACGTAAAAAAACAGCATGTTTATGTTTTTCTCGACTGATACCAAAATGTCCATCGCTTGATACCGTTATTTCTATAAACTCGTATTGAAATATTTATTCACGACTACTGGTGCTAAACAAGGGAAGATGAGTAAAATGGAACTTATACCAAGAAGGAGATATAGATAGAATAAATTGTTCTTTAAGATATAATCTATATTTTTATAAGTATTCCGATACATTAATTTCTATTCAGTTTTTTTCTTGCACGAAAAAGTTACTGAAAACACCTATTCAAGTCGCATATCCATACACATGACTTTTTGTAATTCTGGCTCATCGTGATGTCGGGAATAATATGTTAATTTAGATGGGTAAAATTTATAAAACAAATCTCATTTTACAGCAACACGTTCATTAAAAAAAAAAGGTATCTTTATTATTAATATAGTAATTTTATAATTTGTTTTATAACATTTCATCTATGAACTTGCCTTTGTAAATTTTCTTAACGTCATTAAAAATATCACTATAATTATCCTTAAAACCATAATTTCAAAAAGTAAATCGACTAATAATTCCATACTTCTATCCCCATTATATTCTTGATCCAAAGCAACAAACTATAGAAAGTTAAAGTCAAAATTATCCATGAAACAATCGTATTTCATTAATTGTATTCTAAAGCCAATTTGTTAATGAAATTGAAATTGTAAATACTTGAGCTATAAATACATGAGTCGTGTAATATAAGAAATCATTGCTCTTCTTAGGTTTCTTCTCAGTGGATTTTGATACGGAGATAACGACGCCACCTCTAATAATCGCAAATGACAATAAAAGTACTTTTCCATGAATTCTTCATCGTTATAAACGTATCCTTTCATATGTTCTTTAGCAATTCAATAACCTCCTATAATCAGAATTTATTTTGATCTCTACCCCTACGGAAATTTCAGCGCCACTCTAATTCTTAAAAACTCTTAAAAACTCTTAAAAAGTCTAAATAAGTCTTAAAAATTCTTATAAATGTTTGGATTTCGTACCATGATTTTTAAGAGTTAATAAAACTTTATAAGAGTTTTAAATGATTTAAATAGAAATATTCAGACGGTTAAGGCAATCGCTTATTGAATTTTAAAAAATGTATACAAGTTAAAATAATTTTTATAAAGAGTTATATAGTGTTGATGAAAGTTTTCAATATTTTTAAAGACTTTTTTGATCGGTATCCACGCTCACCAAAAGTCACGGTGAAAAAACTATACAAGCAACTATATGAACAATATAGAAAAAATAAAGAAAATGAAAAAAAAAACTTAACATTTTTGCTAAAAAATTGAGTCTCCACAAGGTTTTATGAATTTTTAAAAACCCTTATATTAACTCTTTAAAATCATTAATCAGGGGTACGAAATCCGAACATTTGTAAGACTTTTTAAGACTTTTTTAGACTTTTTTAGACTTTATAAAACTTTCTCATGAGAAAAATTTCCGTCGGGGTAATTAAGTTTTTCATCGTTTCGATGCCCATAAACTCCAAATTCAAACTTTTCAAATAAATCTTCAAATGAATATTTCCAAAAGTTGTTTCAGTATTTCTTCTAGCGAAAGTGTAACTGTTTCCAAACTCGACCGAGTGGCCTTATTTTTTTATAAAAAGCTTTTTATTTTAAAACAATGCAATATATAAATATAAATATTGAAATATATAAATATATATTGAATTGTTATAAATATATAACAATAGACGTTTGAGTAAAGAAATTTGTCCTAAAAAATTAATTACTTTGCGCTCACATTCTTTGATTAAAAATAATGAAACATAAATTGTGTGAAGCAGAAAATTAAATAAAAAAATACAATGAATCATCACTTCGACTCTTGAAAATTTATTAATTAATGGAAAGCCCCTAACAATAAAGTGTCTTGGTTAACAAACTATCACAATATTTTGGATCTGGTTAATTTTACAAGAACCGTGTTTTTTAATGATTCAACAATTTTTTGGCGAATTTTTATGTTAATGATAGATTTTCAAAAAATCGATAAATATAATTATGGCGAGAGGGCATATTTGGTCCATTCTTCATTGATTACGTCTTAGATCATTTTTATTGCCCTATAAATATATAATAATTCATTTTCGTCGCGAAAAAATGTTCATTCAATTCTACAAAGTTGGTGCTTTACTCATTATCATTTCCATGCCGCAGTCAAGACAATAAATGCAATTCCACAATCTATACATGCGCACTGCGCAATGCATACAGCGCCTACTATAGGCTATCCAGACTTGCCTGAACATTGGAGTGCCGTGACCAAAAGCACGTGTCAGTAACTCTAGTCTACACTCGTGTTTTGTTATACTGATCAAGCCGCGAGTTGCTATTGCAACAAAATTAATTAAAAATGAGAATTGAAATTTGTTATTTTTGTTCCTCTCGTATATATCCAGGACATGGAATCCAATTTGTTCGCAATGATTGCAAAGTAAGATAATGTTTGCTTTTAAACCTAAAAAAATATTTTTAAGACTATCCTTTCTAGGTTACCTGAGGCAACCATGTAATTTTTTTTTTTTCATACACCATCTGTCAATAATTTTTTATTGTTTCTATCTTTACATTTATTTACTTTTATATTTTAAGTTCAGAGTTGAGACAGAAGCAAGATTTTATTATGTGTACTTATTTATATATTTACTCTATGATTAGTCTTTTAATATTCTAATACTAACAAAGATAATTTTTTGTTTTCAATGTATTACAATTTAGCGTTATCTCATTGATTTTTTTCTAATTTATTCATATATTTTAGATCTTCAGGTTTTGTCGATCCAAATGTCATGCAGCATTCAAAAAGAAGAAGAATCCAAGGAAGGTTAAATGGACTAAAGCTTTCAGGAAATCAGCGGGTAAAGAGTTGGCTGAAGATCCATCACTTAAATTTGAAGTTAGGAGACAAGTTCCAGTCAAATACAACAGAGAATTGTGGAATAAGACTATTGAAGCAATTAAAAAGATAGAGAAAATTAAGCAAAAGAGATCCAACGCACACATTATGCAACGCCTCCTTAAGGGTGTTGAAATTGAACGAGAAAAGGACATCAAAGAAGTCCAAAGAGACATGTCTCTTATTCGTTCACCTGCTGCTGGACTTAAAGAAAGAAAGAAATTGGAAGAAGAGATGGAAAACATGGAAGATGATTCATCTATTGCTATGCGTAAGCAGAAAAAGACAGCTTCAGATGAAGATGTGGAAATGATGGAAGAAGATCAAGATATGGAAGAGCATGAACAGCTAGAAATTGAAGTGAACTAATTTTACTTAAACTTAATTTCCATAGAAAAATAGGTTATTAAAATTTATTAGTATTTTTATCATTTATATTATTGAATTGTATTTGTACATATTTTTGTGTCTATGACAATAAAATATTTATATTACTTGAAATAAAAATTGCCTAATAATTTAATTGTATGCATACTTTTTCTATGTTGAAAAAGCTCAAATTCCAAAATTATTGTATTTTACTTAAAAGTTGTTTTATCTTGCCTGCATGATCGTTATGCACAATGCAGTTATGAATAGCTAAGTATTGTAATTCATTCACTTAGATTTTATGCATGCGAGTGAAATACATGTAACTCGATAATTGTGACTGTATTGTGATTTGCTGGCTGCTCTATTATATATAGGCTTATTGCGTCTGCTTGCGTCAAATTCTCACGCGCACGTTCCGCAAACCAAACCTGCAGACGTGAACAGTTCTACGCAGACTAGAACGCTAATTCTTGATATTGACCCTCAAATCTGTTCCTTTTAAATTTTATTTTTGTTATTTGTTTATTCTTCAATCGCGTAAGGTCATAAAGATGATGGATCGTTACGTAAAAAAAAACGATGATGTTCTTGTATTATATGAATCAGAGAAGGCTTCAGCAGAACTGGAAAAAACGTTTGTACCAGATTTAAGAAAATCTTTGGGAGACTCTAGTAAAATTGTACTTGAAAAAGTGAATAACCTAAAAACAAGTAAGATTTCATACTGTAAACAATTTTGATTGAGCTAATATCTACTATCATAATTGGTTTATCTATATTTTCAGATGAATACATTGCAGCATTTGATGTGGTTTTTTCTGGATTTCTGATGTCTTTTTACCATTCTGACAGTATACTTTTAGATTTGATGAAAGTCTTAAAACCTAAAGGTCAGTTAGCCATTCGAGAGCGATATCATAAAAGTCATGAGCCTCTAGATTTGATCACTCGCTTGAAGCTGAATGGATTCTTATTGCCTAATAAAGAAACCCATGTTATAAAGGAAATAGATGGTAATCAAGATATAGAAGTGATAGCAGAAAAACCATCATTTGAGGTACAAAAATAATTCAAAGTTCGTTCACCAATAACTAATTCAAGTAATGTATTAATTTTAATTATTTAATTTACATCGAACTTGACAGATTGGATCTAGTGTTCAACTTACATCTAAAAAACCAGCAGCTAATGTTTGGAAAGTAGATTCAAATTTTGATGATGATTTAATCGATGAAGATTTTCTTTTAGATGATGAAGATTTCAAAAAACCAATTGATTCTAACTTAAAAGGTAACTTTTTGTAAACCAATCTAGATTATTCTTTTTGAAAATAATTTATTGTAATCTACTATTATATTAAATTATAAAAAACTGACTATTTATTTTTTTAAAATAGTTTGTAGTACAACAGGGAAAAAAAAAGCATGTAAAGATTGTTCTTGTGGACTGGCTGAAGAATTAAGAGGAGAAAAAGTTGCTACTGAACAACCAAAATCTTCTTGTGGAAGTGTAAGTTAATGAGTCTGCAAAATGAATTGGTAAAACATAAAGTAAAATATCATTTTGATTTACAGTGCTACCTCGGAGATGCTTTTCGGTGCGCTAGTTGTCCATATCTTGGAATGCCAGCTTTTAAACCTGGAGAAAAAATTTTGCTTCCTGAATCTCAATTAAAAACTGATTTGTAAAGTACTTAAATCATAGCATGAATCAGTTTAACTTATGAATAAGTCTGAGGTCTTGAGTGCTATTTAAATGTGATAAAAAAATTTGTTTTCATAAAAAACGGATATTTGTAATGAAATAAAAACAATGTACATGTACAAGATAAAGGCCTTTTTATTCAGTGTTTTCATTATATTTACAATGACACCAAGTCATCATCTTGTGGAAAAGTGATCAATCCTTTGAAAATAATAATTACTTTTAAGAATAAAATTACAAAACGATCTTGTACAAAATATGGAAAGAATAAATCACTGATCACTTCCAATAACAAGACTAACCACTAAAACTATGTAAAAGAAAAATATCCCTTTCACCATAAATCCACTATCACAACTCTGTGGATGAGTGTCTGGAAAAGGGATATTTTCCAACATTCTTACAGCTTATATTTTATTAAGGAGCAGATTCCACTTGAAATATTTTGTGCATCAATTTGATAATTAAATCTTTATAGGTACATAAAAATTATTAAGATTAATGTTCATTTGAAGCATTGAATTTCAATATGTTTCTGCTCATAAGTTCTATTGGCATAAAGTATCAGTAACACAAATTGGCTCTAAAAAATGTGTCTACTTCAAAGTAAATAATTTACTTCAAGTGAATTTTAACTCTTTTCAAAATTAAACTATTCAATTTTTTATAAATTAAATTAAATAATAAAAAATATCTTTCAATGTTTAGCACCCTGATGTATACCTTTTCACTGAAATATATAGCAGTATGGCATACTTGTAGTTACATTCTTTGTACTGAACATTTTCGTGTACATTTTCTGTATTATTTTTGAGTTTGAATAAAAACAAAAATACATTTTCAAAAATTATGCCAATCAGAGCTTCCAGTCTTTTTTTCGGTTCAGTAACACATTCAATGAAATGTTTTTATGCAACTGAAATTAAGTTTCATTTGTTACAAGTACAAGTGATAAGTATTCGTACAACTACTTTTAGTAGACATGACATCTGATGCTTTAATTAATACTCAAAAATTTTCTATTTATATTTGTAGTACTGTAATAAAAACAATATAAATCTAATTAGTAATTCCGAGTTATTGTTCATTTAAAATGTGTAATAATTTTAAATCAATTTTGAATAAAAATTATATGTTTGGTAAAATCTTTCACTTGATGTATTCACCATAAGTCACATGCAATCTAGTTTTCACAATCAAACATCCAAAAAATTTTTCTAATCTGATAAATTTTCACTTTGTTATTTTTGGTATATAACTATCCTGTAATTTCAATAGGAACATACATAAAGAAAATTCATTGCATTTAAAAATACGATTTTTTGGCTGCCAAATTTAGCTAATATGATTTCTAAACTTGGATTGATAGCTGCTAAAATTATTAACATAATCAAAGCTATATTTAATTTGATTCATAGTTCAGCTATGAGTTTTAATTCTTCTACTGCTCGGTAACAATTAACTTCGTGTATGTGAAGTAGAGTCCCTAGTTCTTAAACTAGCCAAGTTGCGTTTGATCGTTAACAATAAATATCAATCAATTTTATATTATTTATATACATTTCCTGCCTAGTTGTAGACATGGTATTCACCTAAGTTAACGTAACTTTGGTCGTGTAAGACTAAAAAAATTACATGAACACAAGGTGATTCGGTCTACGTAATTTCGCACAAAAAATAAATAAAATGAATGGTAAAAACCTTCCGACCCATGATTTATATCTATATATCATCGAAAAAACAACGATACTTATTTTGGAACTTGTTACCTTTGATAAATATTAAGCTGTTTTATGAATTCGTCCCATACTGTAGAAATTTACTTGAGTATGATGAATTTTTTTTTATTAAACTAATTTCAACGCTTAAGTGCATCATTGATCGGATAAAAAGCACATATAGCACAAAAACAAAAAATAATCGAACGTCTTTTTACAAACACAGGCAATTATTCATCAAGCTCTATCACTTATCGGGTTTCCCATTATATAAAAGCGGTAATTGTATAATACCTATCGGAAACGCTTAGAAGTATTAAAAAATGTATGCTTATTTTAAAGTATTACATCGTTAAAAATGATTTCCACAGAATTTTTATTAAATTCAGAGAGAGGTAGTTTTTATTAGTAAAAAGATACTCTGTAAATTTCAAGAAAATCTATTGTCTCATTCATGAGATAAATTTACTGGAAAAATCAAAATTAACATGGTCGAGATAGAGAAATTTCCACATGTTAAAGCCTGCATGAGAGTGTCCTATCTCGCCTATGTTAATTTCGGTCTTTTAAATATTTACGTTCCGTACAGTAGATTTTCTTCAAATTTGGAGTACGATTTTTTACTACTTGATACTATCCTTTCTCAGAAATCCATTTTTTACGATGAATGCCTTAACTATATACACGATGCATTTTGGGGAGAAAAACATGTGTAGCGACAGTCACTCGCTACACATTCGTTGCGTTTTTGTTTTTGCGTACGAAAAATATATATTGTCTTAGGAAATCCATGGGAAGAGTGGTTTGCAGCCTTTGGTATTTTCATTGTGCAACATGATCAACGGGCGGTTGCACTCGTCGACGACGACGATGAGGTCGCGCCGGCGATAAAGTTGATGTTAACAACCAAGCCCGTTCGACTCCATGTTGTCGATGAGATTGCTCTTTTCCTCCTTTCTCTGACTGATCGCTCGTCCTGGCAATGCCTTTGGTTCGAAGCAAGGCTGCAAAAATATGCCAATATTAAAATGGTGAAAAACTCGATTCGATTTTAGAGCTCGGTTAGACAAGTGCCAAAACTCACAGTCTCGCAGATATTCATATTGCAGCAGTTCTCGATAGTTATTTCACATTGCTCGGTGCCGAGCTGTCCGGGCCTGGAAGTCAGGGGTGCAGAACCGGGTTTGGTTACGACGAATCTCTTCTTGATACGAGGTCGGCGCCTCAGCCGACTGACCCAGAAACTAAGGAGGGCGACGAGGACAGCCATGCAGCAGCCAAATATGGCCACGGCGATCCAAAGGATTTTGTAGCCGAACACGTCCAAATTTAACACGTCTTGGATGGAGTGATTAAATTCGTCGCACCTGAAATATTGAGTGAGCAAGATAGTACGACTCGATGATATTTTTATAGGATATTGGATTATTGCGGGTCCCAGGTATGGATACTCACTTGCAGAAGCTCATATCAGAGCTACCGATTTGTAATTGCTTATGCATGCAATACATCGAGCAGACTTCGGCCATATCAAAAGCGATCTCACATCTGGAGCCACTGGAATACTTGCAGCGGCAAGTTGGCTGGGCATCCTTCACGAGGCAAGTACCTCCGTTGAGGCAGTAATTGTCGCAGACGTCGACCTGGCAGTGCGTTCCCTTGAAACCGTCCTTACACTTGCAGGAAGGCCGTCCCAGAGCGTTGACGCTGCACTCACCCGAAAGGCAGTAATTATGGCAGACCGAAATTTCGCAGCGCGTGCCACTGAATCCGGGCAGGCATCTGCAGCTGTTACTCCTCCTTCCGACGTTGCCGCCGTTGAAACAAACTTCCGGACTCTGGTCTTCGGTGCTGCTCGTCAGATTGTTGAAGCTCTGCATGGTCGGCTTTGGCTTGTTCGGTGTCGCGTTGGTGCTACTGGCTGCGCCAGCCGTCGACGTAGTCGTCGTCGTTGTCGTTGCTGTCTTCGTACCGAGTGCCGCTGCCGTATTCAGAGATTGAGCTTTCATCGCTTGGCAGTTGATCGCTAGGCCCAAATTGTCCCGAGCCAAGATGGTCGTAGGTTCCGACGCCTGATCGATGTCCCAGAAAGATTTGAATTCCTTAATGGCACCTCCGTTGAGATCTTTCTCCATTTGCCACATGGACGAGTACATGGCATCGGTCCAATAGAAATTTTTAGGAGAAACCGCCAGATGCAGAGGTTGATGACGTTTTCCCACGCGCTTCACCAAGTTCCGATTGCTTCCATCGAGATTCGAGTACTCGATTTTGAAATAAGTGTTGCCCTCTTCGTCATCGATCCAGTAGAGGCGCGACGTCGAGTGGTCGACCAGCACGGCTACAGGATCGTACAGGTCCTTCTCGAACAAGGTCCTCGCCTCCGACCCATCAAAGTTCGACGACATGATGCTTGGAAACGATCGGTGAGCGTTGGTCCAATAAATTTTTCTGAAAATTACAGCAGACAGTGTCGACATTTAATCATACATTTCGGCTAAATAAGTCGAGTTTCTTTTTAATTTTTTACACTTTCCATGTTTTACGCACGGGCTTTCTATGTAAATTTGTGACTACACTCACGTTTACATTTTATCTAATTTAAATAAAAACAATTACTCCTTTCAATCGTATTGCACGATTTATCTATTATATGAACATCAAAGCAATCGTCATCGCTGATTTTGGGAAAAATATTTGTATTACGAGATCGTTACGTTAAGCGACATGCAATGGTAAAAAGCAAACACTACGTCATTATAAAATATCAAAGTCTGAAGATACAAACTCAAAAGTATAAAAAAATTTGGTGTGTACACGTTCCAGCTATCATGAAAGTCTGTCAATGATGCGATACCAGAAGAAAATAAATACACGCGATAACGCAACGATCGGAGCGATGGAGAAATCTCTATGACTTAAGCCATGCAGCGTTATCAACTCGTAGAAACAAGACGAGCATGTATCATTTTAAATTTAATTTAAAAGATGAAATATTTACCTGTTGCACGAGTCAATCGCAAGGTCTCGAGGTTGTACATTCTCAAATTTAAGCACAACCTCAAAAGGTCCAGGCCGACCGTTGACTGGTAAGCTCATCTTTAGAATGGTGTGTTTAGTTGTCATGAAGAGCTGTCGAGTCGGACGGTCGAAAGCCAAGGCAAAAATAGGCGTCTGCACTTTTTCTGAAAATCAAATTATTTCACGCGATTGAGATTCATGAACAAGATGCAAGAAACGTACCTTTCAATAAAATTATTTTTTATAAATTTTAATGACTCACCACTCAGCAAAAGTTGCGGCTTGATCGTTTCGGCTGAAAGATCGATACTAAAGAGAGAAAAGTTCAAATTCACTGGGTCGCTAAGATACATCGTGCGACTTTCGTCGTCGTAGGCCATGCCAACGAGGCGTTGGGCGTCGGCAATCACCACGGTACCGGTAACGTTACCATCGTAATTGAAAAATTCAATCCGGTTGCCGATCGTCATTGCCAGATCTGCAAAAAGGAAACATTGTTCCGTCATTAATATATTTATACATACATTTGAATCGCAGTATCCGTGCCGCAATCATTTTTTACGATTATGTATTACGATAATGAATCACGAGTGATTTGTTACATTTCAACGGTCGCTTTTTACAACGCGGAAAATAATCAACAGAGAAGCGTAATTTTACTTGTATCAAATTGCATTTATATTATCTGTCTCTCTTAGTCCTACGAGAGCGTCTCTGTTTGTTTGCGTTAACAGCGCATTATTGAAAACTAATTATGATTTACAACGTACTACTGATATAATTAAGAAAAACTTGCGAGGTATGAACGAATTTTATGTGCGAGATGAAAAGTTTATCGCTGTAATGATGAACTTTTCTTAGCTCTAAAACGATAAGGAAGAAAAAAACAGAAAAATAATTTTAATTACTATGTGGCTATTAATTACAGTTACATTCTTTTTTTGTTAAAATAAATATAAATGATAATAATAATCGTTCCTAACAATTTTCTTGAATGATCGTAAGTCTAATGATGAGTTTACATTTTTACACTAGCAAAGGTGAAAAATAATACTGTTTTCGTTTCTTGCGGAGCATTACCTTGACACTTTTGTCGTCGTTTATCAAAAAAAGCAAAATTGCAACAAATGCGTCACGAGCGTCCGTACCGTAAAAAAGCCAAGAAAATTTACTTTGACCTCTTGGTATATACAGCTCGCGCATGTACAGTTATGGTGCAAATTTACCGAGTCATCGGGTTTTGTAATGAACAAAAACCAGCCTCGATTTCGCAAAAGGGGCCACTGACTCTTCTTCGTACGTGGGATTTTAATAGACGTTTTCGGCGACAAGGAACGATTCTTTCGATTCTCCATTTTCAGTTGTTGCGCCACTCATCGCTATAACTATATCAATGTACGAGGATTACCACTCGATTTAGCGTACTCTACACGGTGTTGGCTGCATTTGGCGGTAAATTTACATACTTGCACAGCGAGAGTTAGGAATTGTCATACGTTTTTTTTATCTTCGAAGCCGGCGACGTCATCATTGAGCGCACGTGCGTAGGCAATGAGCCGTCATGGATCACGTATCGAGTCGTTGCACCGTCAAAACTCGCCGCACGCGACAGACTCGAAGAAAGGGAGCGTGTGGACTTTCCATTGTCTACGTGCGACGCGTCGCGTCGATTGTCTTACGCTTCGAACGCGCCACAGGAAGCAGGGTCCTATACCTATATGTGCGAGCGCGAAAGATGATTTTCACGTTGCGCGCGCGAGCGATGTCGCGCGTATATAGTATAACACGCCATCGTGTTTGCTAAGCTGTTTTTTGTCGCGCTCGTAATTTTAGACTGCGATACCAGCTCGACACAGTTTCTTTAGTCGATCCATCTGCACGAGCGACTGAATGTGACTCGTGTCTGTATAAATGTGCGCGCGAGAATAACACGTACCTATATAATACTTGCTGAATCAGTAATTTACTATGTAAGATTTTGACGTTGCAAAAAATAAAAGTACAATGTCAAGAGCGAAGCGTATCGTTTTACGGTGGTGAATTCAATGGAAAAAATGCCACTTGTAAGCAAATTGATAGAACTCTGGCACGTACGCCTTTTTGCTCTAAATTTCGATGGCTCGCGCGATTCTTCACTCATTCACTGAATTCAAATGTGATATTTTTCAATTATTGAAATCGCAATGAAGCGTGAATGAATAGTTGCTTCACCAGTGAGAACCTTGACAGGGGCCGTCTTGAGCCTTTCTTTGCAGACATCAACAAGTGTTCTCAATAAAAAACTGATACGCCGGCACGCGAAGGCGAGCGCTTGCGCCTTTTTCTCTCTTTCGAACATTCAATTGGTGCCCTTTTACGATTCATCAAAAGTAATCAGGCACGTTCAAGTATCGACACAAAATGTCACATCTAATTCCAATTTATCGCGTGACAATTTCATCAATTTGATTAGTATTTATTTTTAATTACATTATTAACAAATATTTTGTATTACTGAATATAACAAAAAAATGAATTTCGGTGATCGCGTCTTGAATTGATTGCTGTGAATAGATAATACAAGACTTAAAACCATACAAGTTTTTATCCAAACGACTGATGGACTTTTTTACGACTGATGAATTTAATTTCAGGTAACATTAAATCATTACGTCAAATGATAAAATGAATAATGAGTTTTATGTGACTCTTGTTTATATTCAGAATCATTATTTCCTACAAGTTTTGAGTCAATTTTTTCCAATGAAGAGAAAGTTTTTCTTATTTTGAATGGACTTGAATACTTCTTTGGTACTTCATTACTAAGAAAGATTTTCCAGTGCATAGAATTTTAACTTCCTATTTTTTTCCTTTCATTTCTTTTCAAAACAGGACACACGATGTACAGTAAACTGATTGATTATTCATAATACACATCACGTACAGATCAAGTATAATTACGTAAAGAAAATATTCAAATTCATCTTCCAAATTCTCTTACACATATCAATTTGGACCCGAAAAGGTAATATCCGTTCAATTCAAAGGTATGCATCAAAACGTGTACATTTAAAAATGTGAAATCAAAATGAATTACATTGAATTATAGAGTAATGCATGATGAAAACAATTGATCATCTAGCAACATCTTCTAAGTTTACAGTTATTTCAACTTAAGGGTATAGAATGGCTGTATTTTCAGAAATAAAAGTAGAAAATAGCCAACGAAGGCACACGAGATCGTTCGAACGGGTATTTGTACGACATCGGTGACAAAGTCGCAGACGCAAGTGAAATTACGAAAAATCGTAAAATTTATCGGCCCGTTGCATAGATAAATAAATTATACAATTGTACATCGGTTGACACGATCGCGTCGATCGTTCGTCAAAGTATAAACGACTGATCGATTGTAATTACAAATGAACGGACGACGGTCGTATTCGCTATTCGATGACATTTATTACATAAAGGGCTTTTATACTATACAGGCCGGGTGCTACGCGCGCAAGAGGCTGCATCTTCGCAGCGACTCGAGCTCTCAACCGAGAATCGAGATCCGCTTCAAATGAGCAGGAAAACTTTTGCCGCTTCGTTATCTTAATGTATTGCATAAATTTGTGGGTCAATGTCGACGACCGTGCGCGCACCTGAATTAATTTTATCTGTTTGCGCGTTACGCGATCATTATCGCTTGCCTGCTGGGCATTTAACGAGCCGACTGTGTACATCAAATTGACGGCGCTAAAACAATTTCAAGTTCAATATTTGACAACGATCAGCAGACCAAACACTTCCGTATGAACGAAAAAATGACAAATCACGATCGAGTCGCTCGTTTGATTATCTCTGATAATTGCGATCGTTTTGATTCATTGTTACACTTGGATGAATTGCGAACCGATAGCGACCCCTGGCACCACCCGACATTTTCCCTAATTTACTCTGCTGTCAGGACTGTCAAATTCATAAGCTTCGTGAGCTGTATTAACAATCAACCGATTGAAAAAAAACCATTGGTTTGACCTCGTTTGTTGAATCAAAAAGTGCAGGCAGATACATGCATGCATGCTATAGATGTGCTAACCGGCGCGCGCTGTACATTAGGAAGTTGTATGTACGCTGCGTACAGCACATATATACATTGTCCACTATATATATACGTGTGGAGCAGCACGCGGCCTACGTGACGAGTCGCGGCGCTCAAATGGAGTCCCCGGTGCTGGCAATGCTACTATGAATTTACTACTAAGCTTCGGCTGCTGCTCGCGTTACGCGCTTACAAGCGATTATAGCACGAATTTGCCGAAAATTTCATCAAAATTATTTATTTATCCGAATAGTATTGAAGTGGTGCTTCGCTGACTTACGATCATTGCGCTCAAGAATCAGTGAAATTCACCACGTGCGAGTGTATCGAAATGTCCCGTAATGCGCTCGTCGAGATTTTTCATCATTTATCAATGACAGCTTTGTATTTTTATATCTGTCGAATCAGAGGATTACTAACTTTCTAAGCCAAGATGTTTAAATGCCATGCGAATCAGCTTATCGAATGCAAATGACTCGAACAAATTAAGGTAAAAATGTTTACTTTAGATAACGCATATTTTTTTCCAAAAGATTAATGACCTCCGCTTCTATAAGATTTCGCCGCTGATAAACAAAGTCGGAGAGAAAAAAAAGTCACAAAACCAATCTGTTTACGTAATTGATGATACACATATATGCTACGAACAACAGGCCTAGGCGTATCTTTAGGCTCAATATTATCTGCTCGAGCTAAAATTATCAAGTGAAAAATCATGACTTAAAAAACTTACCCCATGACCTGGCCGACGAGGAACAGAAAAGACAGGCCACGATAATGAGCGAGGAGAGAAAAGCGCGACTCGGACGTGCGCGATCCATCGTGCTTAGAGCTTGAAAGTCGAAATTTGCTTATATTATATATGTAGCACAGTGAACACACACACGAAGTCTTCTGCTCCGCCGAGATACTACGTCAACGACGGCGTAGCCCAGCAGTCACTAACACGCTCTACGGCTCGATGTGCACTGCGCTCTGCCAGCGGCAGTGTTCTAGCTCGGACTGAGGCAGTTTCGACGATGCGCCGCGACAGTACAGGCGAGACTCGATGAATGAGGGCCTCTCTGCGTACGCGCTCGCCACGAGTTTAGTTTCTAGCCTACTTACGTATTCGGTATTACGTTCAGGCGATCGGCGCACGCGCGTCTAGTCTATCCAATATCCATCCATGCAGTTTGAAATGTTTTTTCTCCGTCTGTGATCACCAATTCACCTCTGATCACTGATCAATCTCTCGCTGCCCATCGGCTTAACTAACATTTATTCACCGGAACTTCAAACATTTTCCATGATAACCATTTAATCAAGTCATTACCGCCGCGACTTGATTCTGCTGAGAACGAAAAGAATTCAGTAAATAAATTATGCACAATGGAAAAATAATTGAAATTAAACTATTTAGTATAGACTTAGCTATGCCATTTTGTCCACATCATTATTTTTCTATACTGATGTTGTACTACATTCGATTTTACAAAATAATTTTTATGAACAATTTTCTGACATAGTATTGGAAATGTTTTACGATCGATCTAATAAATTTTCTGTATCCTGAATAACATACTCATTCACATTTATCCTCACTGTTGATGGTCAAAGAATGTAGATTGAAATAATATTATTGACGATTTTTTTCCGAATAGAGATGAAATGTTATAACTTATTTTTATTGAGTTGTCAAGAATTTTCGAGAAAAAATAATGTATAAGATTAGCGTTGAAAAATTTATTTTTTACAAAAGAACAAACAGTGAATAATTTCTTCTAATTCTACTAAAAAATAATCAATTTGCTAAATGTTTTCTTCGAATTAAACTTATTCATATTAACAGTCAATTATATTTTAACTTTGATGTAATTGGTCATATGAAGAAGGTGCTATGCTGTAATTATTACGATTGATTGTGGCAAAGATTCCTTGAGCATGGCGGCTCGTGTCGTTGAAACGGTTGTCAAAGCACTAGATGGACTATAAAACTCCATTAAAATCATAAACCACTGAAATTGCAAAAATACTCTAACTATCCACAATTTAAAAAAAAACATAGTGCAGTTGTCGAAAATAAACAAGGTTTTCACAAAAAAATTGTGGATATTTCAAACATTTACGAGGTTTTTTGGGTGATTATTAATTATTCTGAGGTCTGAATCCATAAAAATTTCATAAACATGCCTGGCCCACGAGGATCCATGTAGGATAATCTACGAGGAAACCTTGAGTCACCTTGTTAAAAGCTAATTCTCGTGAAAACCACGTCGACAATCAAAGTGGATATTTTTTAACTGGACAACGATAATAACAATTTTATTATTGTCAAAGTAAAAAGCAAAAGGCATGATCAATATAATATTATCATTTATCTATTTTGTATTATAAAAATTAGATCGCTTCAAGTCAAGCATAGTGTTTACGATATAGGTAGCATGCAGGCCCTTCCTTGGTGGTAGGGCGCGAAAAAATTGCATTTGTTTATCACCACTAGATGGCTATTGAAAATAATTGCATACCCGCAAGTGCTCAAATTAGTTTTGAGATTACTATATAAAGAACCCTCCGTGCCCCTGCATAGTAATTAACCAACCACGTGGATTCGGGAGCAATCGCCTCATCCGTTCTCGCGAAATACTTGCGTAGGATGTTGTCAAAGTAACCCAAGTAACCTAATCTATCTTGAAAGTGGTATCTTAGTCAAATTGAGTTCCTTGTGCCATATGAGCACTAAATCTGAAAATGACGTATGTTGCAATGATCGAGGGTTGGTTATAATTTTGCCTTGCTAAATAATTATGAACCTAACACAATTCAACAGCGATTACAACTAATTACATCTGCTTTTATTTAAAAAATTAAAGTGACCCTTTCAACTAATGAGCTCAATACAACTTTTGGCTCTGTTAAGTTTTGTCCCGTCATATAATTCCACTTCATCATTCTCTGATTGAGTAAGATACAAGATAATATGTTTTGGTGTCTGCATTGCCCTATCGACGTCGTCCGCTAGATACAATTTGACATAATATAAGTAGCGCAAAATTTCTGAAACACATAACCGAGTGATGCTTCTTTTGACACATGCATGGAAAATATTCATCGTTTTCCTTACAAATTTGTGTTCGCTCTACAATTCATATTGCGGAAATAACACTTTTTAATTTGAGGTCTGAAATCCATAGCTTTTTCGATAATTCAGCTATTTGAATTTTGAAAGCTATTATAAATAATTTGGTCAAGAGGTTATAATTGATTTTCAAAACCAATGTTATGGTTCTCAGTGATCTTTAAATTACTATGAAGAAACATAACGATTTTAGAAAATCCCATCAAGATGATACTGATTATTTTAGACACAATCATAAAAAGAATAAGTCAGAGGAAAAATCTCGTTATACCGGTGAAAAAAATTATAGAAGTAAATATGACAAAAAAACTGAATACTCTGAAGACAGGACAGAAAATTATGGAAATCATACTAGTCATAAATATAAAAATCACAGAGATAAAATGTATTCTAAACATGAAGCTGGAACTTCCAAGGAAGATGACTACTTCTCAAAAAGAAGACCAAGAGAATCACCAGAAGATACTGAATCAGAATTTACTTACACCATGTATAAACATGACTTGAATAAAATATTCTCTTCATACCCTTTAATTCAAGATACAAATGAATTTTGGCAATTTGTGAAAAAATATGAATTGATTGAAAAGAAGAAAAATGTCAGTCCAAACAAAACAACAAAAGTGGGTTTAAATTCAATTGGCATTCCAGAAGAATATAATAGAACACATTGTTTGAATTTTACTCTAAATTATAAAGATGATGAATTGTTCATTAATGTACCAGAATCCAGACAACTCACAACGGAAAAATTAAAAAAATTCAAAGAAATTATTATTATTTATATGGATTTCAAACAAAAAGAAAAATTTCAAAAATTAAAGAAGTTAAGAAATGATCAAGCAAACTTGCCGGTTGCTCAGTATAAAAATGAAATAGTAGAAGCTGTCAAAAATGAAAGAGTTGTTATTATTGCTGGAGACACAGGTTGTGGAAAATCTACTCAAGTTCCTCAATATTTATATCAAGCTAATTTTGGAAAAATTGGTAAGGAATAACTTTTTTAATGTTTCAAGTAAAAAATAGATTTAATATTATACTTATTTTTCAGCATGTACTCAACCACGAAGATTAGCTTGTATAGCATTGGCTAAGAGAGTCGCTTATGAAAGTTTGAATGAAAATCGAAATGAAGTTGGTTATCAAATAAGGTTTGAAAAACAGAGAAATCAGGATACAAAAATAACATTCATTACAGAAGGTCTTCTATTGAGACAGGTTTGGAATTGTTCACTAGAAATTATTTGCCTGAAAAAAAATGTACTAAATAATGAATTCAATAGGTTTCTGGAGAATCTGGAATTTCACAATATGATGTAGTTATATTAGATGAAGTTCACGAAAGGCACTTACATGGTGACTTTCTTCTTGGCATTATGAAATGTATACTCCACCAAAGAAGTGATATCAAGTTAGTTCTCATGTCTGCTACAATTAATATTGAATTGTTTAGCAATTATTTTTCTCAAGAAGATGTGAAAGTATTACAGGTGAAATTGAATTTAATAATATTGATACATTATAAGTTTTAGAAAAATTATCAAGTTTTTTATTTATTTAGGTACCAGGAAGATTATTTCCAATTCAATTAATTTATAGACCAGTGATGGTAGTAGATAAATATTCCAAAACAGAGCGATTCAATCCTAGTCCTTACATCCAAATTATGCAAATCATTGATAAAACATATCCATGTAAGTACAAAATTAATATCCGATAAAAATTTAATCCATTAGTAATAAAAAATTTTCTTCAAGAATTTATATTTCAAGAATGTTTATGTTTGCAGCTACTGAAAAAGGTGATTTACTTATTTTTTTGAGTGGAATGAGTGAGATTACAGCTGTTGTAGATGCTGCAAAAGAATATTGTAAAAAAGAGAACAATTGGATTGTTTTACCCTTACATAGTACTCTATCAATAGCTGATCAAGATAAGGTTTGTAAATACTATGCTACACTTTGTTTCACACAGTTTAAATAATACCAAATGAGTTACTTTATAAATTATTGATTTCATAGGTATTTGGGTATGCTCCAGAAGGAGTTCGAAAATGTATAGTTTCAACGAATATTGCAGAAACTTCCCTAACCATTGATGGAATAAGATTTGTAATTGATAGTGGTAAAGTCAAAGAAATGAGTTACGATCCTAATTGCAAAATGCAAAGATTAAAAGAATTTTGGATAAGCAAAGCCAGTGCTGATCAGAGAAAGGGTAGATCTGGTAGATGTGGTCCAGGTGTTTGTTATAGGTTTGTACTATCATTCATTAAAAAAAGTTAAATAATAAACTCTTCGTTAATAGGGACAATTTAATTTACATATCTAGATTATATGCAGCTGAAGATTACTCATCATTTGAAAAATTCTCAACCCCAGAATTGCAACGAGTACCATTAGATTCATCTCTTTTGCAAATGATTGCGATGGGTTTACCAGATCCTCGTAAATTTCCATTTATTGAACCTCCACCGGCTGAAAGTATAGAAAACTCGATTTTATCACTTAAAGAACATGTAATAATGAAAAAAATAAATAAATTATTTTTATTAAATTTATTTTTATACTAATTAAATGTTGTTTTTAGGGAGCTCTTACTGAAAACGAAAAATTGACAAGTATTGGAAAAACACTGGCCAGATTACCAGTTGATATAACCATTGGAAAAATGCTTATTATGGGCTCTTTATTTCATCAGGTTGAACCTGTTCTTTCATTGGCTGCAGCTTTAAGTGTTCAAACTCCATTTACAAATAAAGCTTACAGGGACAAAGAATGCGAGGTAAATATATTTTGAAAATTTTATATTATTTCATATTATTTCATATTATCAATAATTAAACTCACTTCAGACTTCAAGGAAAAATTTAGAATCTGATCATGGTGATCCTATAACTCTTTTGAATGCTTATAAAGAATGGTTAGAGGTGAAGCATGCCAATATTGGTGAAGTACGTTCTGGTAGTAGTTCTAGTAAGAAGTGGTGCAGAAGAAGAGGTCTAGAAGAGCAGCGATTTTATGAAATGACAAAACTCAGAACTCAATTCAAAGACTTATTAGAAGTAAAAATTTTATTTGTGATAAATATTTGCTTAGAAATCGTTAAATTTTTAAATCTCGTGATTTGTTATTATAGGATTGTAAGTTACTCCAGTCATCAGATGTTAACTCTGAAATGACTAGTTCAGAGCGAATCATGAGACATGGGGAATTAAAACTGTTAAGGTCTTTGAAAAGAACGTATAAACAAAATGATTCTAGAAAACGTAAGCAATTAAAAATTGATGAAGATAGTATTGAAATAGAAGATGAAAAAGATGATGGCATTGATATTAAAGATGTCGAATTTCGAATGAAAAATGATTATTCAAAAGTAAGCAGTTTAGTTACTGCATCAAGTGCTTGTAGCTACAAAGATTTAATGATGTTGAAGTTAATTTTGTGTAGTGGTTTGTATCCACAGTTTGCAGTAGCAGATGAGTTCAATTATTGCAAGGTAATTTTTCAAATTATTTCCCATTCATCTATAATTAAAAAAACATAATTATTGCATCATTTTTATTTCAGTCCATGAATGAACAACTATTTCATACCAAAGTAAAACCATTTGTGGCTCTTCATCCTATGAGTTTTTTTGGAAATCATCATGAAGTTTTACATCTTGCAGAGTCTGATATTTCAGAAATTCTTGGGTTCAAGTCTAAGGCTCCAATTAGTGCTAAACATCAGTTGCTAACATATTTGTAATTTTTCAAATAATTCTTTGAAATTATATTTTTGTATTTAGAAATTATAATAAGTCAATTTTTTATTCACAGATCATTACTTGAAACTACTAAGCCATACTTGGTGAATACTCTTCGTATACCAGCAGCACAAACTTTATTACTTTTTTCTCAAGAAATTGATACTAATTATACTTTCACAACGTTCGTTTTTGAATACTTAGAATTGTATTGAATGTTGAAACAATTGGTAATAGAACTTCTTCTTCCAGAATTGTGTGTGATTCATGGTTATCTCTCGATTTTCCGGCTCCTGATACTGGAGCTATACTTTTACTCAAAGCAGCAAATCTGCGACAACAGTGGGATAACTTATTAAACATTAGATTAGGAGGTATAAATGATATAATACTTTAAGACACATTTTGTAATTTTTTGATAAAAAAAATTAAATACCAAAAATTATTGTTTGTAGAAAAAGTTAAGTTGGAAGAAGAAAATATTGATGAACTCGAATATGAATTAAGTAAAGGACTTGTCGAATTTATGCATACATCTGTTCCTTATACAATAAAACGACTTTTGGTAGCAGATTTAAAAAGTATATATGTTGGGTGTGGAGAAAATGTCACAGTTATTGAGCCTAATCCATTTTCTTTGGATTTTGAATGTGTGCCTCATGAAAAAAAAGGTGGAATTAGAGTAAACAAAATTATTACATACAATTGGTATAATCATTTTTCTTTTTATACTTCGATCGTTTGTGTGAAAAAATTTACAATGTTTGAAATTATTTTTCAGCTTGATAGCAAGTGATTGGAGTGATAAGGTAGCTTGTGAAATGATGGAAGTGGAATGGAATTGTAAAACATGTGATTTTTGTGGTGTTCTTACTACCATTGAAAAATTACAACACATAAGTAGGTGCAATAGAAATAGAAAGATAGATGAAGCTGAGAAAAAGTCTTATATGCCACCAGAAAAGAAAAAAAATGATATTCCTTATGAATGTTCCATTTGCCAGAAAGTTCTATACTTAGCTCCAACTGAAATTTTAAAGCACCAAAAACAGCATTCGCAATAAGTTAAATTATGTAAAAAATATATTCTTGATTCTCAAAATTGTTTTTGTAATATAGATGTGGTTTTAAGCAAAGGATTATGAAAAACATTTGTAAGATATATTTGAACTTTTAATATTTTATTCCATATCAGATAAAATTTGTACATATAATAATTATTGAATAAAGATGTGATTTAATAATAGGATAAAGTTTTTTTAGCTATTCATTTATGTCCAAGGTAAAAAATTTGAAAACATGAAGCTGCCTAATATTGTATATCCTAAAAAGTAGCCAAAAATCAATTTTTCTTTGTATGAATATTCGTTCTGTGTTATAAAAAATACTTTCCACCTGGAATACATATTATCGTGACTTTCATATTCCAACTGTTTAGTACTTTTAGACAATTGAACTTTTTTCATAGTAGCTAAGGCACAATACCAATAAATGACTGGACTAGCGGAGCACAATAATCTTGTACTCACTTGAATATGAACAATAGAAATACAAACAATTGTTAAGAATAGCCCATGTACTATAAATACAAACATTTCCAAAGGGTATCTATTCTTTTCAGATTTTTGATTATCATTAGAGCCAGTAAAAAATTGTAGCGTAAAAAATTTTGATTTGTGTTCTTTGAAAAATTCATAACTGCAGTTTAAAAATATATATAAAATTGGTAAAGCTAACAAAAAATTTGGTATTTGCTTAAATTTATAGTATTTTAAGAAGCCAACATCCCAATATTTGCTTTGAATGTAAGAATATGATGATATTAAAGACAATGAAGGTTTTGACTGACACCATGTAAATTCATGTTCATCAATCAATAATAAATTATTGTTTTTTGCATATTCTTTTACATAAGATGGTACTTCACTAGCATTATTATCTGATTTACAAAAGTGTTCATAGTTATAAATTTGTAAATAATGTAATGGCAATATTGATAAAATAACTACTACAAATATTTGGATTAAACTTATCCATATGTGTCTAATACTAAAAAAAAGTGATCCTTTATTAGAATGATAATATTTTAATTCATTCTTGCAATTTGGTATGCTAGTGACCAATAAATTTCTGATCCATACGTATATTGGAAAACCTAAATTAATCAAACCATTAGATCTTACCAGACTGGAAAGACTCAAAGGTAAAAATACACATGGATTATTCTTAATACTTTCTAGCATAGTATAAAAAGTTAAATAAGCAAACATTGATTCAGTGTAAAGAGCAGTAAAAAATATACTGGCTGGATTTATACAAAACAGAATTGCAGCTCTGTATGCTATTTTGATATCTTTAAAGACAATAAGACTGAGATCATATAAAATCAATGATGCCTTGACAAAGCAAACAAAGTTTATTAGGAATCCTGAAATCACTATTGTGTTGCTATAATTTATTAATGGTGGCTCTATTTTCAACACATAAGCTGTGTATTTTACTAAAATTGGATAAAGAGGATAAAATGCAAGTGTATTTTCATATGTATATCCATATTTGGTAATGTGCACATAATACTGAGCATCCCATCTGGTTAAGCCACTAAACATAAAAAAAATTACTTTATCTAATTTATTATATTTTTCAATTGGGTCTATAGGACTATAAAAAGCATCTGCTGCGTGGTCTGGACATATAGCATTGAATGCAAGCTGCAGAATGAAGACAATCCCACGAGATAAAATAGCAAACCAAAATACTTTGTCTCTTGCACTGTACATCTTTCATTATTATATTATGCTGCTTCCTTAATTAGAAATGTCAAATTATTATTGTTCTTAATCAAAAGATTAATAAAGTTAGATTATATTGTTTACCTTTAATTCAAAAATAAGGTACCCACATTAACAAGCTTTTTCTGTAATTTGTAGGAATGAGAAACACTTTTACTTATTGAAGATCTGTATAATTTCATCATCTCAATAATTCAAAAATAATGGATCTTACATTCTTACAGTTCTATTAGACGATTCAGTTTAAATGTGTAGATTGATAACACCATATTTTTTTGGAAGTGTTTTTAAATTTCACATGCATGACACCTACTGATAGTACATAACATAATTTTCGTGACTCTCATCGTGACCGTGTACAGTTTCATGTTACTTTAAAATTTTCTTCATGAATAAAAAAAATTGAAAATTTAAATTTAGACACAATAATAGGTGCAACGCAGCAACTCACTTATTTTATCATTCGAGCTAACCTCAAGTACTAAGCGACGGCTGTCAAAGTTCGATTGAGACTATATGTATACTTCGTAGAGTAAATATTTTCATACCTAATGACTGTACCTATAGCATCAGCTGGTTTATAAATTTGTTCATAGCAGTATACTTGGATCCCTTACTCAGTTGTCACTCGAATTATCCTTAGACGTATTTTTTGGAGTCAATAACAATAAAAAGTTATAGAAAATCTCCAATGTGGTTAGTTTAATTTATTTTTACGTGTAGAAAGCTATGATTCTTGTAAAGAAAATTGAAATAATTAATAAAAATTATTAGTTTTATGTTACAATTAAGAGTTTCTGAAGTGAGCAATTTTTCGGTAGTTAACCATTGATTTGAATTATACTTTCGTCGTGTGTAACAAAATTTAAATAAAAAAAATATGCAGAGACGCTATTTTCGGAGAACTAGGTAGATAATAACTGTCTTTGGAAAATTTGTGCTGCGACCAAGGTTCTTTTGAAAAATGACATCAGAAGGTTCTCCTGCTAGTGTTTCTAATGCTGCCTTGAGGTTCCACAATTTGAGATTGAATCATGAGGAAAATGATGAAGGAGCTGTTGGTGGTATTGAAGCAGAAAATATTGAAACTGTCAATGATTCACCACAAAATATGCAACCAGCGGGTACAATTATGTTGAACATGGTTAGAAGAGCTTTGGAAGTATCTGATATAATTGAGGAAGAAGAACAAACTGCAACAAGTTCTAGAAATGCCATACCATCCACGTCAAATTATGATAAGTAAGTCTATATTTTCAATGAGTATTTTAAAGTATTGGTCATAATTTCTCAAATGATAATTAGTATCACTTTGTTAAAATCTATCAATAAATACAATACTAAAGTTTAGGCTTAGAAGCAAAAAATCTTAACAATCATATTAATAAATGTATTGTATATGTGTTAAATTTATAAATATTATATAAACTTCTAGTAGACCACCAAGTAATTCAAGCAATGTAGTCAGGCCAGAAGCTAGAGTGCGCACAAGTATTCCTGCTGAAAATGGTCTGACAAACTATTCGGTTTCTTCAACTGTCTATAACTGGCAAGGTAGCAAAGCTACCATGCGTGAACGTTTCACATTTCTATTTAATAATGAAATCCTGTCAGATGTGAAATTTAGAGTTGGCAGAGGCTCTCAGCAACGTGTTATCCCAGCACATAAACTAGTCTTATCATCTGGAAGTGCAGTGTTTGATGCCATGTTCAATGGGACTCTGGCCACATCATCCAATGAAATCGAAGTACCCGATGTTGAGCCTGAAACGTTTTTGGCTGTGCTACTGTTTCTTTACACGGATGAAATATCCATTAATCCTGATACCGTCATGACTACACTCTACACAGCGAAAAAATACGCAGTTTCTTCGCTGGAAAAGCATTGTGTAGATTACTTGAGAAGCAATCTCACAACAGATAACGCATTTTTACTTCTCGCTCAAGCCCGCTTGTTTGACGAGCCACAGCTAGCTGCCGTTTGCTTGGATACGATTGATAAGTTTACGACGGATGCTCTGAATGCCGATGGGTTTACCGATATTGACATCGATACTCTAATTACAGTTTTAGAACGCAATACACTCAGAGTTAGAGAATCGAAGATATTTCAAGCCGTTGTACGGTAAGAGCTCGTTTTAATTTTATAAATATTTGAATTTAATTTTTTGAAACTGTTTTATTCAGGTGGTCTGAAGCAGAATGCTCTAGACAACAGTTACCGGTCACTCCTGACAATCAAAGATCTGTCTTAGGCAGAGCCATCTCACTAGTCCGTTTTCCATTGATGTCAATGGAGGAATTCGCAAGTGGCCCAGCGCAAAGTGGGTTATTGACTGACAGAGAGGTAAAATACTCACCTTAAAATGTATTGATACTTGAATTGAATCAAACATCGATTTAACATAATACTAATCAAATATCATTTCAGATAGTTCAAATATTTTTGTACTTCACATTAAATCCAAAACCCCGAGTTGGCTTCGAAGCTATGCCTCGATGTCTCATGATGGGTAAAGAGCAGACAGTGTGTCGTTACCAACAGACTGAAAGTCGGTGGGGCTACAATGGCACAAGCGATCGAATTCGGTAAAAATAACACTTGTCTTTTGGGTGCTTACTTTGTTGAAAACTGTAAATCAATAATGAATAAATAACTTAGATTTAGCGTAGACCGAAGGATATTTTTGGTCGGTTACGGGGTCTACGGTAGCGTCTTTGGCCCAGCCGAATACGAAGTAATTATCGAATTGATTCACACAGCGTCCGGCAAAGTGATTGCAAAAAATAATACAAGTTTTAGCTGCGATGGATCGAATTATACTTACAGATTAATATTCAAAGAGCCAGTTGAAATTTTACCAAATACTGTTTACACCGCTTCGGTTACCTTTGACGTAAGCAGTGTCATTATTTAATTTTTTTCATGAAATCTTCAATAATTTTTTGGTCTGTGTTCTAGGGACCAGACTCGCATTACGGATCGAAAGGACAGCGAGTAGTTACTGTTGATTGTGGTCCAAAGCATGGAAAAGTGAAATTTTCATTTAATTATGAAGCGGGTGATAACAATGGTACATCGATAGAGGGTGGCCAAATACCGGAACTGATTTTTTATTTGTAAAAAACGTCACAAAATCTACCTTATGTGCACGATACAAAACATAACATTGTTTTACAAGAGATGCATTCCCATTTTATTAATCATCTCGAAGAAATTGTGTATTCTTATTATTTGTGATATTATATTCTTAATGTACCATTATGCTGTACCAAAATAATTAAAAAAAATCCCCTTATCTTTAGAATAAAAAAAAATCTAATTATGATAGGATTTGAAAGAGATTATAATCTGCGACAATTTATTTTTTTATTCACCATAAATATTTCACATGATTCAGTTTTATTTTCAAAAATCATTTTTTTTTGTAATGCACCGAGACTACGTAAAATAATAAAATACTCTGCTTGTATCATATATATGTACAGTGTTTACATATGATAGTACAGAAGCGGAAAATAACGGAAATAATATACCTGGAAGTAGGAAAAGTGGCATGCTTACACTATTTCATATATTGTTATTATTAAGAAAGAACAAAAGGTTATTTTGTACAAGTGACTTCACAATGAACAACTCTTGAATTAATTTCATTGGATTGTAATAGGTATTTTTGCTTCTGTACAATTACATTGACTTAATTGTTTGGCATTAATATATCGTTAAACAAATTTTTGGGCACTGAATTTGATTACGAAATAAAATACTTACATAAAGATCTAAATAAATTCATTTTGAAATATCGTACTCGCTCGGCTTTAAAAGATACTGCATATTCCAAGATTTTTTTTCAAAAATGATATGCTATGGTCGTGGAATTACTTGCAAGTAGTACAATCATTTGTATTATTTTAAATTAAAGTTTTTTTTATTGAAGTTTGTTGAAAATGAAAATTACATATTCATTTTAGTAATTTAATTTTTGAAACTTTTGTTTTAATTGGCATATGTAAGAAAGAACACCAATTAATAAAGCTTTGCAATAATTTTTTCGGCAAATTACATTTTGTTTCCGGCGAGTCCATGTTTTTTTTCAAAAGACGCTGCAATAAGAATACGTATCCAGGCCTACAACATATTATAATAAATAATATATGGCTATACATTTATATCCTATGTTAAGTTCAACTTAGACCTATAGATAAAAATAAAATAAAAAAAAATTTAACTAAATGAAGAATTCAAATAATAAAAAAAAGCTACAAGCTAAAATTGATTTGTTTTGGCGCATGGAGAAAATAATTTTTTCTCTACCGCATCGTGATTACGCATTTATTACATTAATAATTTTTCTATATAATTTTATAACATATAAGACTAGTTTTTGAGATTTACAAAAATGGTACAAATTAAATTAAAAATTAACTATTAGTTGTTACTTTAAAAAATACATTTTATACATTGACGTCTATACTCTAATACAAAACAGATAAATTGCTCCTAATTTTACTGTATGTTATGATTTGAAAATTAATAATGTTTTAAATTATGGTAAATTGTTTAATGAAAATACATCATAATAAATTTGAAATTAATTTGAATTTTACAATAGAATGCACGAAAATACATTTAATTTGACGAAAGTTTTTATCTCGTGAATTAATACAAATGTTCGATAGAAATAGTAATGGTTATTATTATAATAATAATTATAATAAGAATAATTAGAATAATTATGATAATAATTATAATAATATCGTATATAACTAAATAATTTCCTTCCACGCACCAAAAATCGTTATTCAAAAGATAAATATATGTAAAACGACGTTACAGAGTATCATGTTATTGCCTGCAAAGCTTTTAATAAAAATTAATCATGCATACTTGCACACACGGAAACGAACAAAGAATGTCAGCTGCTTCCACAAACTAATTTTGGTAAATAAAACACTGGCCGTTTATACAATTTCTGATTAAAAATTCATCGTAGTATTCATCAATAAAGCATATAATAAAATATATAAGCTTAATATTTGATAAGATGTAATGCATGCATCATCGTCATATGTAGTCCTTAGATAAAAACAGATTATAATGAAAATCTCAAAACTATAATAATTAAATAAAATGATCGTGGTTGCACGAGCAATAAAAGTAAGGTAAAGAAACGTATATAAATATATCATAATCGGCTGGAATGTGTCGATCGACGAAAACACACGACGCGAAATCATCTTTGCACTAAAGGGATGGCATTATTGCGAATGCGTCGGAAAATGGGGAAGCGTTTATGCATCGTACCTGCAGTTGGTGTCAAACCCGAATTTTTGCGTGTTTCCATTATGCGTTTAATCTTTGTTCAACATCAACAACTTTTTAAAACAAGAATTTTAATGATCATCACGAGCACGCGCAGCTTGATAGTGTACTACACATTGATAAGCATACATAATACAAGCATATAAATGTGCATATGAATTAACAATTATTAACGGTAATAAAATAATGATTCAAAAGAGAATCAAAATAAAATTAAAAAATATGCATCTAATAATGATGTAGTACAGTACGTTTACCTTGCAGTAAGTAGTAATAATTGCTATAAGAATTATCCCGAGTTAAACTAGAAGTAATGTAAATGAACAAAGTAAAATAGCAAGTTTACTAAAGAAAAAAGAAGGAGGCGCGCGGCGCTAAGTGACAACGGAGTCATTATCATTCCGAGAAAGAGCAAACGATCGATCGAAACGAATGGAGTAGTAGTTGCAGTGGTAGCAGCAGCAGTAGCGGACAAGGGCGATACTCTTCGTTCGGCATCAGCAGCGTGTCGTCACACGAGCTCGAAGCTGTCGCTGCTGCTCTCGTTGCTGTTGTTGCTGTTGTTGCTAGTGCCCCCACTGACGTTCTCGATGCTCGTCGCCGGCAGGAAGCTCGCGTTATGGTGATGATGGTGATGAGTGTGAGGGGGTATGCGCGCCGAGAGCAGCCGAGTCCGATTGCTCGGAGCGGAGCTGAGCACTCGGCTCTTCTTCAGCTTCATCGCGGCGGTCTTGCGCTTCCTCGGCTTGGGGTATATTTCGCAGCTGCAGCCGCTGCGCACTTTGATGTAGTCGAGGGCCCAGGGCGTCGTGCCGACGGGGAAGCCTTGGAATCGGTATTGCTCGGCGCTGCCGTGCTGGTGATGGTTGTGCCTCACTCGCGGCTCCTCGTCCTCCTGTTGATACAATTTTACAAATCAACGCTTCCAATTGGAACGCGAGAGAAAAGAAGAGCAAACGAATGATTTACCTTGCTGTGAGCGTTGCTCTTGATAATAGCGTAGACGAAGGTGAACTTTTGCACGCAGCGCGACTGGGGTGCCAGCTTGCGGTCGATGAAGCGGCAGGGCTTGTCGAGGAACTCCTCCTTGCAGGACACCTCGTAGAATCGCTGCTTGTTCTCCTTGTGCCTGTAGAGCTCGACGTACATGTTGTTCTGGTTGATGCCGCCCGCGGGCTCGATCATCTCCATGACCGTCGGACAGCAGTCGACCGGGTTCTCGTTCGCCCCGCTCTCCAGCCTGATGAGCTCCTGCATTTCCGGATAAGACAGCCGCCTCGTCGTCGACTCTTCCAGCGACATCGTCCTGTCGAATAAACGAGCCAACATCCCGGTCAAACTCATCGGCCTCTGACCAATTTCAGAATTCACCTAGAAGAAATGCATCCTTACCACCGATTGCTGTAGTGCTCTCCAAAATGAGGCTCCCTGCTGTTGCCGCTGTTGCCGCTGTTGCTGCTGCTGCTACTGCTGCTACTACTGCTGCTGATGGGTTTGTGCGTTAATGATTCTGTCGTGTCGTTGCTGGCAGCAACCAAAAGCCGCGTGCTAAGTACTGCGGTCAGCCAAACCACCTGTCGATACCATGTCAATCATTATACGACCAGATGCATTACTCTTAAAAATTTATCTATATATTTTTATATTACTGTCTACTTCGATTTACTTTTCATTTTTACTTTTCCTTTCTTTTCTCATAGATTTTTTTAATGTGTCGTCAAATTATAACTACTGTACAAAGAAACTAATTCATTGGCAAAAAATTTTCTCCTAAAAATGATACTTCTTATTAATATTTATGCAATAGTATAGCGCAAATTGCCTCATTTTTTGATATAAAACATCATATTTTTTATGTAAGCATTTGTGGCAGCTACTATTGCATAAAATTGTATGTGAAACGCGCGCCTGCATATTTATTATTGATTTTATACAAATTGAATGTCACTGACTTACAAGAGAAAAATTTTAAATTTTACCTTCAATGAGAACACTAAATGTTTTTTTCAAAATCATTATTACTTGATACATTATAATTTTTCAATTGAAGCTTGTGCGAGAAAAAAATTACATGTATTATACGTTTTATAACACATTAAAGCAATCTAAGAGATAAGAGCGAGAAAAGGAGTGAAAAATAAAAATAAATTAAGGAACACTAATAGATATAGATGAGTGTTAAGGTTAGTGTGAATTCGACGACGAGAAAATGTCTCGGCAGAGACTTGCGAAAATCTGCCGAGCTGATCGAGCCGTTACTTCCTACGCGATTTTTTCCAAAACTGCAATGCGCCATCGCGACGATGATGTGCAACTCTCTGCAGTTTATAATACTCCGTATAATAAAATAAACCTGCCGAGGATGACGACGACGACGACGACGACGAAAGGTAGATCGCTTATAATCTTTATGCAAATGAAGCCTACAGGCGCCGCTATATTATGCGTACTCGAGAGACCGCGCGACTCTGCACAAGTGTTCGTATGTAATAAACGCACGTATATACATTTGTACATCTAGGGACAATCCATTAAACCTGTTGAAGGTATTATATGTTTATGTACCTCTCTCTGTCCGATTCTCGCTCTCTCTCTCTCTCTCTCTCTCTCTGTCTCATAGGCACGCACACGTGTGCTATACAGCTCTTTTTCGCCATTTAATTGAGTTGCGTACACGAAGCAATACACTGCCTCAACAACATATTATATTCATAAGGTATATGTGCCACCCACGCGCACGAGTACGCAATAAACAAAAAGCCATTTTGATTACACTACGCGTCACGCTCAAACAATCCGAGTTTGGTGAGCGTTAGACATTTTTGTCGCGACTTTTTATTTCATTCTCTTTATTTTTATATAAAAGTGATAGTATTCTACGTCTATTTTTGACATATCGTTTGCCTCAACATTTCCGCGCTGATGAATTTTTTAAATCTCGTACTTGCAAATGTCAACTTGAAAATAATATTTATGCGAATGAATGTTACGAATGATAGCTTTGGGAGAAGTGCAATTGAACTAGCCAAAACTCATTTCTGTATTGATTGATCTATTTCATTGATAATACGTAAAAGAAGCGATAAAACTTTTCTTGTTATTTTTTTGATATTTTGCACCGTTGAGTGCAAGTAAGAGGAGCTAAAAGAGCGATGATTCTTGAGTTGAAAATGGTTGTATTATTGAAGAGCGCAGGCAAGATTACAGAGTAAGTAGCGCGAGTACGTCCCGTGCGCGCTCGCTTATTTATACAGCGACGTTAATACCTCGGCTCGGGAACTCGCATTTCGATGGGTACAGTCGGTAAATCTGGGGCCCATTATGTCTTTGCGAGTCGCGCAAAAAGAAACTGGCGCCGAGCGTAAGCAGCTTTCGACGTCGAAACTGCTCGATTTCATCCGCGCGACTCGCGCTTATATTATATTATAAAGTATATCCTATGATAAATATATATACAGTGCTTGCTGGGTAAAGCAATCAAGGACTGCAACTGCAAAGTCCAGCAATGGTCTGCTTAACCTGATTAAATGGCTCGGATTATAAAGTCGACCTGTCGCACTTTGGCGCTTGTCCCTATAGACGCTCGTAATATATTATGTCGGCCGTCTATTTAAGCTCGTCGAAGGACGCGCGCATACGTCCACATGCGTATAACATAAGAATCGCGATCGGGCAGCGTCGAAAAAGACGATTTCCGAGTCGTTGAACGATAAGTACACGAGCTTGCGCGCATATACGTGTGCCTTGTTTCCCGAGTGCACGGCTGCTGCATACAAATAACTATAAATGCAATGATCGGTATAGCGGCGCCTCGTCTCAAACACACACGTATATCGCGACGAGAAAGTTTAACGACGTGCTAATGGCCGGGTTAAACGCTCGGCGCGGAATCTTATCGGGCGCAGAAGCGCAGGCAGGGCACAGAGCACATATCGGAACGATTCGACGAAGCGCTCTCATCGCGGATGTAATAAAGGTGCAGGCCGGGATTCTCATGCGGATATTTCGTGGCGACAATGGACGCCGACTTTTATTTACGGTCGAGCGACACCGAGCCGATTCTCCGTATCACATAGCTGGCAGCTCGCGAATCCTTTCCATATTTCACAAATCTAAATGCATATCGCACTCGGCTGCTTTTTCCTTCGCTCCGTTGTCATCGGGTCTGTGTGCAGGGCTCGGATCGAGCCTACTGTATACGCGTCGAGCTGCCGAGGAGTAGCGCGCCCAAATCAGCTGCATAATTTATACGCGCGTATACGAGAGACGTTCGGGGCGGCCGGAAAGGCGCGCTCGACCGCGATCGGTATAGACGCGCCAGCCGAGTGATCGATGCGGTCTTCATGCAAATTTTCCTGCTCGTGGCCACTGCTCCGCAGCGACGATCTATGCACTCGAACGGAGCCTGTTATGTAAACCCCCGCGCTCGGCGTCGCGATCGCCGCTTGCACGGACCTATTCCACGTGTGGTTGCTCTATCAACCTTATTTTATCGTTATTATTATTATTTTTATAATTATTAAAAAAAGACTTTTTAAAAAACGTACATCTTGCGCCGTGGCAAAGTTTCCACTGTCCAGCACTGCTTGGCTCTACGATTCATAATGTTAATGCTAAATTAAACGATTAGACGCGTGGCTAGAGACTAAGGATTAATGACGCGCTAATTAACCCACATTGAGACGTGTTAAACCAATTAAGACGTTTTTAAGCTCCGGTCTAATAGTCGCAGTTTTTGTTTTCCTTCGTTTCTTTATCTTTTTTTTCATTATCCCTGCAAATGACAACAACGTTGTTTTGCTACGCTCGCGTTCGCTCGTATTAGTTATTATTTTAATACCCTCGGATGAATGTCCATTATATGATATAGTCATCCCATCGCGGTGACCTGTTCGCAGACGCCATCTTGGCATAATTTTTCATAAAAGGGTCAAACGATAAGGCTGCAAGACGAATTTAAGCACTTTAGAAATTGTTTAGGCGCGCGATCGGACTCGCGAAACGAGGAAATTGGTTCATTTGGATGCTGCACACCAATCAATTGCGACTCGCCAACCGAGAAAGTTGGAACAAGTTTCGATTATGACTATAATCATCGGACTTGAAGAAAAAATGACATTAGAATCGACTGCGGCATTTGTAGTAGGAGCGTATTACAGCAAGGTGAGCTTATGCTATAAATGCACCTCGTAAGCCTCCGAGTCGAGATATTTCAATTGCAGCACCGGAGTCGCATAAATATCGATGCCGATGATTGATAAGACACAGAAATACTTGATTTACCAGACGATGATTTATAAATATATCATTTATTTGACAATGTAAGCGGCTTTGAAGCTCGTTGAAATTACACGCGAATTACGTGCGCCAGTTGCCATTCATACACGATCGTTTCACTTTACACCTGCGGTACCAAATACTTTTTAAAACATAATGCGATACACGCATCTTCGAGCTTCATCGAGCCTTATTGCCGATTGCAACCTCCGTTGCGCAAACATATACGCATATATTTATAAATGCGCGTAATTTATAAATAATTAATCAAACTCGAACGATCTAGATAATATACGTTACGCCTTACATATCCGACGCCTGCTTGATTGCATTTTAATAAAATAATACCAATTGCTAGGTGTAGTTGATCCGCCTCTCGCTAATTAATTAACCTTAATATTGCCCAACGTGCTTCATTCGAAGCAAACGAGAAATCGTACAGAGGAAATCAATTGACGGTTGCTCGAGTAATTTTTTCCTCTGTCGAGGATCGTTTTGCAACGAATTTAAATCGGCCGTGTAATCGCTCCACACAGACAATAATCTATCTAAGCATATATACATGTATACTCGCGACTTTGGCTAGCTTAAAGGTAAACATGAGCGATCTACTTGCGTTTACCTTAGGCAACCCGACGCTCCATCGCGAACCAAGTGTATTTGTATATATATTTACACGAAAGCCGAATTTCACCGTAGCGGAAAGCAGAGCTGAACGGTCTACAAGACTTTTTGTTTTGCCGAGTATAAATTCAATGATAAACTTGAAACGTTAAAAGGCAGAAATAGTTTGGTTTTCTTGAGCGGTAGCCTGGTGGCCTTTTATGTTTTTTCCTCGAGTCGCGTAGCTGGAGAAGCATTTCACCAAGTTATGAATTTATAGAGATTTCCGTTGCACGAGTTCGATATGCCGAGCTGATTTACAAAGCTGGGCTGCGCAAAGAGCGCACGGCACGACCGCCACGAGAGGCCGAGATTTTGAAGAATCCGCGCGGAGCAATTGAAAAACTCGGTGTGCCCGTCGAGCGATATCAAAAAGCTTAAGTGGTTATTCCGGTCTCTGTCGTGGCTCGAAAAATATATCATCGGCACATTGCCCGTCTATATCTGCTCTGCGCGTCGAGTTTGCCGATCCAGTCGCGGGGTTTTAGACAATTTTTTCTTCCCTTTTGTTTTTGTTCATAATCTTTCTAAGAAATGTAGCCGCAGGATTGAAAGTATGCTTGCGTCGAGCGTGGGGGCTACATATTCATGCGTATCCTAATTGTAGCCTCGCGGTGTGGTCCGAAACGGTCGAGTGAAAATTTCGAGGGCACTCGCATAATCTGCGCCAATACGATTAGGACGCCCGAGTTTGGAAAATATGTCAGCTGAAAGGGCCGAGCGAATCGAGCCAAGTATCATTTTAAGCGTGGCGAGCTTGCGAGAACGCCTCCAATGGCGGCGATTTAATTCGTCAAAGCGTCGGACTTTGTCGATGACGATCCGCGAGCCGATTCGTCCACCGTGCGAGCATAGGTTTCGTACAGGCGAACTCGAGTCTCGAGCGATGGCGTCGCACAGCAGTGGGATACAAAGGCACTCGGATTCGGATGGTCGATCGCTCGCAGTGATCACGCAAACAACAACAACAACAACACGAAAAAGAGCTTACCGCGACGAGTGCGCCGAAAGCTTCAATTCGCATAGTAGCTGGCCAGGCCAGCGGTAAGGCCTCTGCTCGGGTCGCTCGCGCTTGGATCGTTCGGAGAGATGACGATCCGGTGCGCGAGCGCTCTTTACTCTCGCTCCAATGGGCACCTCCTCTCGTGGCTCCTGTTCGCGAGCGCAGCGACGACCTCGGTCCCGCGTTCCTGCTCGTGCTCGGCGTTTTGCGCGACGGCTCCTTGGACGATGCCAAGCTCCTCCTCGGCTAAGCTCCGAGAGTCGCTCGCTGTGAGTCGTTGGCTCCTCAGGCCCGGCTGATCGCTGCGAGCGATCGGTAGCAGTGGCGACTCGACGAGCTGCTGCCGTCTCGACGGAGGACGAGTCCACCTGGACCGATGACGTTGAATTCGTTGGCGTAGTGGCGCGTGCGCCCGATTACGCGTGACATCTCGCCAACAGCTCTGCGCCAAGCTCGATTATCTGCAACATTCGACAAAATAATAATAATAATTCAGCGCATATTTGCTTTATTATGTTATAGTTTTTGCGATCGTAACAATATACAATAACGAGCATTCTCTTGGTCACGAGATTACCTTACGAATCTGTTGACTATAGCCCTACCAATGTTATTTGAATGATCGATACGACGAAACGTAACGTCTCGAGTTTCGATTATATAAATATTTACGCTCAGTCGGCGAGTCGAACGAGCCTACAGCAGAGCTTATAACTGTCACGAGTGTTTTTTAGTTTTATCAACCTCGAGCGATCACTTTTATTACTTGACCATGGAAATCGAGCGCGAAAGAGAGCTGATAACCGCCGAACTGCAAAAAAGCTACGCTCGAATCTTTGCAAAGTCAAAGCCATGTCACGTTCAAGCCAAGTCCGAGATCAGAGCTCAGAGAAGCTTCGATAAAGCCAAGAAATTGTATAACAAAATCAAAGACGATACGATGCTCAAGTTTTCGGCCTGGCAGCAGAAAGTTTACAATCATCTGGGCATGGCACTAGCGGCAGCGCCAATTCTCTCGACTCTACAAAGGGACATTTTCGTCTACCGCATCAACGTGAATTTCAAGTTCCAACAATACTTGGACTCTATGAGAGACATCAAATACGTGAAGAAGCACTTTGATCAATTCCTACTGGACGAGGCGTTTAAAAAGGAGTTTTCAGAGTTGGAAAAGAAAATCGCACTCGTCTACTACGACAGCTATGTAAGTGCACGAGCAGCAATGAATTTCTCTAAAAATGGCCAAGCCGACTAACGCGAGACGCTCGACTTTCACAGCTTTTACAAGAGAACCAGAACGTGGACAACTTGCCACCCTTGGAGGTGCGCCAGCAGCGCGCGATAGACTACATCGACACGAAGCTGCGGGTAAAGGACGACGCCTGCCCGAGCTACGAGTGGGACACGATCGAGGCCATGTCCTTGAAGGACCACCGGGAAAACGTGTACCTCGGCTTCGACCTGCGCTACGGGCGTCATTTGCTGGCGGCCCGCGACATCCAGCCCGGCGAGGTCGTCCTCGTGGACACGCCCTACGCCTACTCGCCCGCCAATTATCGCTTTTACGTTTGCAGCTACTGCATGAAAATCAGCAGGTGCTGCGTCGCTTGCAACGGCTGCGACCAAGTGGTCTATTGCTCGGAAAGGTGCAGCAACTGGGCTTGGGACGCTTATCACGATGTCGAGTGCCAATTGAAGCCCGCTTACGTGAGGGTCCTGGAATTTTTGAAGCTACCGTCGGCGCCGTCTAATTTCACGTGGGATACGCTCGCCATCAGAGGATTGATCAAGGCTTGCAGGCAATCGACCGTAGACATGAGGGAGTTCATCGATCGATTGGAGAAGGTCGATTACGAAGTGGGTAAGTGTCGGAGCCTTGCCGAGGGCCAGAATCGCCCTGCCCGAAAAATGTCATAGCAAACATCTTTCTTTCGTGGGCGCAGATAACTGTAAGAAGGGCTGCCGTCCGGACGGCAAATTCGATTCCAAGGACTTTCATAGCTACTTCAGCTTGAGGAGCAACGTCAAGGACGGCGAGCTCAAGAGCATCGTGACCTTTAGCACGATTGCCCTCTTGTGTTTGGCCAAATTCACGACCTTCCTCACGGACGTAACCGGCTTGCGATGCGAAACGACCAAATTACGAGACTATCCCGACGTCGTGAACCTCGGCGCTATTCTACTGAGACTGGCCAAAGTCAACAGATACCACGCTCACAACGTAAGAATCGCAATGGCTACATCGGATAGCGCATGCTAGTCTCCGCATAGACGAATCAATTATTTTCCCTTTGCTTCAGGTGATCAACCCCATCCACTGGTGCAAAAACAGCCTCAAAAAGCCCTATTACTGCTCAGACAGTTACAAGTGCTCGTACGGCCAGATGATCGCTCCCCTCGCCAGTTTGGTAAATCACGATTGCGACCCTAACGTTAGAAAAGTCTTCACCTACAACAAAAAAGTCATGTTCTACGCCGTCAAAGCCATTGAGAAGCACAGTCAGATATTCGATTGTTACTACAATTATTCTTACTTGCAATGCTGCGAAATGAGCGAGCGGCAAAAATTTCTGCGCTCCAACTATGACTTGGATTGTAATTGCGATGCCTGCCAGAGACTCGAGGACCTTTGGTACCCCTTATCGTGTGGCGACGCTTGGGTAAATTTCTACACGTAAAATAATTCCACGCTTATGTTTCATTTTTTTCTCCCTCTCACATATTCACAGGATTTTTTCTCCAATTGCGAAACTTCTATGAAGGAGAGTAAAATTTTATCTCAATATTTTCATTTTATCAATTTAATCGATGAAGAGTCGGTCAGACTGAACGATAATGTCAAAGTATCGTTGGCAGAGGCTGTGCTTGAGTTGGACGATAGTAACATAGGTGTTACTTCCAAAGTCAGGGCCAAAATAGTCTATACAATGATGAAATATTTCGAACAAAAATATGGATACAGACAAGTTGGAAAGCCATACGATTTGGATGAAGTTCAGTGTTAGCTTCGTAACGATACTAAGATGTACACACCCAAACGTTATACTACACATAGCCGCTAACACTGCTGTGTTTTTTGTTCCTCTGTATAAATATTTAAACGTGTAAAAATTTCATCACAATCATATACATACGACAAAATATGTAACAATAAAAGTAAACCTGAAATCCCAATGAATCAGGTGATTTAGAGTTGAATGTCGATTTATTTATTTTTCATCGCCAACTACAGTAAATCGTTTTCAGATTTCTGGACTCGCACTACTTGATATGCAGAGCAGAGCTTGATCTTCATTCGCAGTTGCCCATGTATTTATATGCATGCAATTTCGCAGGGAAAAGAAGAGAAGCTCGCGTGCTCGAATGAATGATTCATTTGCTTGGCGTATCGTCCTCCCCATCGAGAATATATTTATATTTTCATTATTTCCTACTGGTCTCTTTGGCGAGCGGGTAACGTTCGGGCTTGCTCGCGAGTTTTGCACGTCGCACGTTTCACGCGGTCTCGAGCCTGGCGCATACAGACCTGTCTGACCCAATTCTTTATTGATCTACTTAAAAGCGCCCGAGGAATATCTTTGATTCGAGTGCAAATGAAAAAAAGAAAAACAACAACAAAGAACAAAGTCGAGGGAGAGAGAGACGCGTTTTGCTTTCGAAGCTACACTCGTCCCGCATCGGGGTTTTTTCTCACCGAAATTCAACGCAAATTATCCCATTATCACTTTTTCGGTTTCACTGGGCAGCGCGAATGAAATGCGGTATACGAGCTCGGCACGTTATAATTTTATATCGGAGTGCCGAGTGCCGATCGCTACCGCGCGCGCTGCTACTACTGCAAATATATACATATACTTGTATAATGTACGGGAACTTTGAAGTGAATTTAAAAGGGCCGGTGTAAACGAGCTGATGGAAATGCCGTAAATCAGCGAGAAGCTCGACCCGATCCGGTCCGTATGAAGCTGTTGCAGGCTGTGTTTTCGTGCGATCGCCCACACACCTAACTGATCCTTAACTCGAGCCCGTAATTCAAAGGGAGTGCCTCGGTTTTACGTTATAGGCGTAGCATCTCAAAAGTCATTTGGCTGATCGCGAATTGGATTCGACCATCGCCCGGCTCGTTCTCTCCCTTTTGCTGACAAAGGCGAGACAAATTGTTACGAATCGATAGCTCGAGAGCAATTGAAACGACTCTGTATAGCGGGGCGCCAGTATAATTCGAGTCATTCGATTGGGAAAAAAAGCTGGCCTGGCACTCGAAATGGCTTTTAATAGTTTACCACTCACGCGAACTCAAAGTTCACTCGGTAAATTGTGTGTCCAGGCTGCAATTAAAGCGGAAGTTTTGAAGGTCTTAAGTATGCGATACGATATATGTAACTCGATATAATATACGAGTTTATCGTACATAGATAAGCGCGCATATGTACGCGTCTGCGCGAGCTGAAAGAAGAGGAAGCGGAGCCGATCGTTTGCACGCAGCATGTATGCCTGTAATGGAGATGTATATTCTCCGATGCTTCACGGGTAATTCACGCACGCGCACGTATCGATAGTCCATCATTATTTTATTAGCGCATTAATCAACAGGTTAACCGGCTGATGATGACGACGAGGACGATGATTATGTATCCACGTATGCTCAAAGAGAGAGAGAGTAAAAAGGGGCGTTTCTCCACTCAATCAGCCAAGTGCTGCGAATGTATAGACAAGTGGGAGGTGCTTACCGCTTTCATCAAGCTATATTATTGACCGACAATTTATCCGACGCGACTCGTAACTTTTTCATCGCTAAAGTATTCTTTTTTTCTATTCTTTTCTTCTTTTTCAATCGTACTATCAAAGACTTGGATCTGTGTCTTCTGGTAAGCAAGCTATCGAGCTGAAATCAATGGTGTATTAGCTTGTAGTGTGGTCATCATTAATCTTTTAAATTATTTTAACTCCATCTTCAATAAGTTGACTGTGTACTTTAATGTTACACTCGAGTGAGAGTACGATGTTCATAACATCGTTTATAAGTTTAAAAATACAACTGCGTGACCTCGTGAACTTTTGAATGAAGTAATTCTTTCAAGTGTAATCTCGATGAGTAATGATGGCGATTGTCAGATTTATTATAGCTGATCATCCCAAGAGGTTTTTCGTGCATTATGGTGAAAAACATTGCCCGATAATGGCTACTATCAAAATCGAAAAACAAGCGGAATCAAAAATTCGGGTCAAATGCACTTTTGGCCGGTCTTTGCCATGCGAATGTAGCGCAGCTTGTGCTTTGAAGCATTTCAATGTATTGTGCGCAGCATATACATGCCATAAGAAGCACACGCAAAACCCGTAAAACTTGTCGAGTCGCACAATGAAGTGCATGCATGGATCGACTTCTACGAAAAAAGCCACACGCATGGCAGCTCAAAGTACACCCGCTTGAAAGAGTGTCAGCCGCGGGTGCGAAAAAATTACGTAATCCCGTGATTTAAGATGAAAGGTCCTATAAAGTAAAATAAATTTATTCCGCGTGCAAAAAATAAAGCAACGATCACGCTTTCGCACGGCGAACCAAAAAACCGGAATACCGTAGTCGCATGGTGGAGTGATTGAAAGAGAGAGAAAGAGAGAGAAGACGAAGAAGAAAAAGAAGAAGAGCTGCGCGTCCAAGTATTCGCAGGACTGGATTAAGATATCTGCTTTGAGCTCGCGACCTCCTCCTCCTCCTTCTGTGGCTCGGGAAGAAGCGCATGCACATCTATCTGGAGGCACAGAAATTAACTCGTAAAGAATGAAATGTTCCTTTATAACATCGCTGCTGATGCTGCTCCTGGGCTGCCACGGTAGGCCATTCATGAAATCGTTGCACGACCGCACGCACTCTCGGCTCGCAACTCGATATCTCTCGGCCGAAGCGCGTGGACGACTTTGATACTCGCATAGGTAGGTACAGCCAGAGAAACAGAGAGAGAGAGAGAGAGAAAGAAAATGAAGATTACCGCTCGAGGCTGTGCAGGAGGCAGATTGCATCGACGCAGAAAAGAGAGTAAAAAACTCGATCGGTGTAATGAATTTTCAGCCTACTACTACAGCTAGCTTCATTTATATTACATATTTATTCACCTCTCGCACATATGTATATTTCTCAAACGATCGTTATTATGAAAACTTTGTACCCATAATAACTGGTTATGAGCGAAATTTTACCGACTCGATAACGGTTTGCGATTTTTTTTTCCATCTAATTGGCCGAATCGTCGTTCAATTTTCTCGATGATCTCAACTATAGTTAATAATAGCAGTTACAGGAATTTCCGATGAAAAGCAGGCATATTTACTGTCGCGGTGTTTCCAGGGCAGCGCGTCAACGTTGGCAGGTGTGCATCAACCAAAAGAAAATCCAAAATTCGTACCCTCGACTCGTTACAATGAGTTATTAATTGTGGTTTGATTTTTTGTCGCGCGGCCGATATTTATACGATTGTTTTCAAAGCGCGGCCCGTAGCTGCTAACGGCGACTTTCACCGGCTCGCAAATTTCATTTATAATATATTTATCCGTATCGAGCGATGAAAATGCCACGGCAACAGCTGCAGCCCGCGCGACAGCTGATTTACGTACGCGCAGGTACTTTTTGTTAATTGTACTTGATTTAAAAGGCGAATATCACTTCTCGAATGATTAAGTGTGCAAGTGCGGAGCTCGCTATTGCTTAGGCCAGATACCTTATGCTACCAAGACACGGACGCAGAAAGCGAGAAAGACTTTGCTATATTGCTGCATTGGCAGCAATCATAATAGATAACTTTCGCCAACACATACGCATTTATAAAGCTTTTAGATTCGTAAATGAGTACGTGGCAGGCAGAGTCGTCGCGTCTACTTTCACTGCGTCTGGTCAATTAAACTTTTATCATATACATGCATATTTACCGAGTAAGCGCACAATATTTGCAACAATGTTTTTTTTTCTCATCCTCGGGCAATTCGCGGAGAAAAAAGCATCACCAAATAAAGTAACAACGTGACTGCATTTGCATTAATTGCGTTACACTTCGCGGTGAAGAGACTACTGCACGAGAAGAAAAATACAGTCTTTTTCGACGAGTTTTTTTTATAAATCGATCAAGCTCTCGTGTTTCAGCGCACATTAGCCGCACGACGAAACAACTCAATTATCTCTATAACAAGGCCACACACGGCTGCTGTGCAGTATATTTGCAAGAAAAAATTAATAAACACCCGCTGCGAGAGATGAAATCGATATGCCGCGCGTCGCTGTTGCTGCTGCCAAGGCATGAGCTCCTTTCAGAAAGCCTCTATTTTAGCGTTAAAATGACGACAAAAACCGGATATGCTGCACGCATTTCATGCGCTATAATCATATTCTCACGATATTCGCACTCGTTTTCTAGCTCCTAAAAATTGTTGATACACTGAACAATATTTAAATCAATAAGTAGCGTATTTTAATGTTTACCTCTCAATAAAGAGATCAGATTTTCACAATAATTTCCTTTACTAAAACTTTATTTTTTAACTCTTATCTCACTTTATGAGTCTATAGCTAATTTGGAATTATTTTCTCGATAATAAATTTGAATTCTTCCCTTTTCTTTCCACAAGTATGTGCCTTCTAGAGGTCTCAAATTTTTTATGATTTCCATTTTGAACTCTGTTACAAAATAGAATCAAATGTCGATTCACGCATTGAAATGCATATATTAGCTTATCAATTATAAGGCTGAAAATATCCTTGTTTATAATTTCTGTGAATCAATAGAAATTTTCCATTCTCGTAAAAAAAAATTATAACATTCTCTATGATATCAACAGAGTAGAGAATTATTACTTTACTTTGAGTTATGGATTTTATGTATTAAAATTTAATTTAAGTTCATGATATGTTATTAATTTCATTGAAATTATATGTATATTTTCAAATTCACAAAATTTTTTTACATATCTTGCATATTTAGCAGCAAGTGTCATGTTATGTAAACAGCTGCAACTATAAATGTTAGAGGAAGCGCGAAGCGCGCATCTCAATTTTAAAAGTAGGCTCAAAAATATGCAATCGATGATATAAAATGCATGATATGTTCTGAATTCGAAATGGGATAGTTTACGGGAAAATAAGAATCTCATACGCCTTTGGGATGAATTGTAAACATCGTTATGTGTTAGTATTATTAGATATACAAACATGAGCAGTCGAACGATCATGAGCAAAAGCCAGTCCTACAAACCTATATACGAGCAGGACTTTTGAGACTTGCCGCGCGTGCGGGGCTTTTTTACAGTGATCGCAACTTTTTAAGGTCGCCAGCAAAACTGCGTTACTCGTGATAAAGTTTTAAAAGTATTCCATCCATGAAAATTAATTGCTTTTTTCAAAAGCCAATTTTTCTTGCTTAAAACGACTTGGAAGTCTAGGATATTTTTCAGTGAAATCGCAGGGGCACGTAAAGTGCCCATCTAGTTATTTGAACTCATAAGCCATTTGAATGCAGATATATGCGCTTGTCATGTACGCAGGTAGCCGATAAAGGCCAAGAAAATCTTGGCACTCGTAAATACAAGAATTATACGAGAAGAATAAAAAAGGAGAGGAAAAATGCGAACGCGAGCAAGAAGCCGGAGCTTTTATCTGCGCTGTTGGCATTAAATGTGCGAATCCTGGAGGGCTATATGCGTTGCATTCAAGTTCAAGCTTACACCTTTCTTTGGCGAGCGCGAATACAGCAATAAAAAAGGCGTGCGCGCGACCGAACGATAAAGAAGAGGCTCTTGTAAAGTGCAAAATTTTATGGTATAAATGCGTGTATAGGAATACGGGCGCTCGGAAGTGTGCGTACACATTTAACGAGGCGTACGAGGAAACACGTGTATATGCACTACATATATGTCTGCGTATACATATGATACATTTATGCAGAGTGCGCGCGGCTGACTGCGCTGGGTCACACACTCGCACACGCTCGAGATTTTCGGTATCTTTTTATCTGCGCTGTCGCGCGTTTCTTCCTTTCCCCCCTTTTTCGCTTTTCTCAGATGCGCTTTAATTTATGAATGAAAGTTGTGGCTGGCCGAAGAGAAAAAAAGAGAGCGAGATAGAGACGAGTCGAGCAAAACTTTTCATTTTTGGCCTTTGATTGGATTATTTATCGATATTGTACATCAACACACCCGCGCGAACTTCGCTTCTGAGAAGAAAGTGCTCGGGCTCTTCGACCAAGCGACTCTTACGTTGAAGTTACGTATTTCCTCGCGTCACATTCGCAACCATTGTATTAAACGCGCCTGTGTCACGCGAGTCTCGTAAGTATGAGCGTTATGTAGGTGATAAAACATCCAATCGCGGATAGTTGTAAAATTATTTACGATCCGACTCGATCGCGACATATTTGCGCGGCACATGGAAAATGAATATTGATGTCGCTTTGGCATGAAAAATTGTACTTGCAGTGCATCGTATTAATCGATTGATGACTGAATTGCATCCGTGTCGCAGAACATGTTTTTTTCTCTTTTCACGAGTGATGTCAATCCGCTTAATGAACTGGCCAATAAACAAGGATCAGTTCATTTTTTACTTCTTCAAATCAAAAGACATTTTTTCCCAACGGACTCGCGCGCGCAGTGGAAAATTTTATCATAACATTATATACTAATATTGTCGCGCTTTTAATATTGAGATTATATAAAAAATTTTGCATTTAATCGCGCATGTAACATCGACTAGCTGTCATTGATATTTTTATCGGTTCTACCGTCGATTATTCAATATTTGTAGCTTCAATTAATTCCTTATTTATTATATATTCTTCGCTTGTATGCAATTGAAACTTCAATTCGTTGCCGTGCTGCTGCAGCTTCGAGTTGCGAAACGCGCCGGCGGCGCGATATATTTATGTGCTTAACGATCTTGTAGCAAATTGAAAATCGAAACTCGAGTCTACCGGTCCAGACCTCTGCAGCTAAATTGAATTGTTTTCGAAGGACACATTTTGAGCGAGTCACTGTCATAAGCGAATATTAAATTGCGCGATAAAAAAAACGACGAAAAACAAAAAAGAGGATAAAGGTAAAAAAAAGCATAGCCATGACATTGGCCACCCGATCATTTTGACAAATTAGGCCACCACCAAAGGATATATCTCGGCTACATATTTTGCCTTTTATATTTTTGCCCTTGAAAAAACCACTTCGTCACAGCACGAGGTGCATATGAACGTACTCGTATGTACGCGAAATAAGCGTAATAAGATTTATCTTTTGCACTCAGCATAGTGTATACTGCACAGGTTTTTCGCGGCGCGATCGCATAGCTCCGCAGGTAAATAATTCATCCTTTTCCTTCTGCATGCGATTTTATAGTGTTGCGCTTTAACCCAGCATCGAAATCACTAAACTGCATATTTAGAAGATAGCTAATGTACGAATGCATCAGCGGACCGAAGACATCTGCTTTATTAAAAAGTTCTACAACGCTGTTAATTTTCATTGTGAAAAATAGTCAAGCTTAGGATTTCATGAAATATTTTCGTTGACAAATCTTTTATACTGCAATTCGGGATATAAATACACTATTTGCTTGTTTACTGTTCACTCTTATATATTGTAATCAAAATCACGAATTTGAAGCATCAAAATTGAAAAAGTATTTGAGAATTGAAAATTAAACTTTGATTCTTTTGATGAGAAGGCGGCACTTGTTTCATGAAGCGGTCATGCCAAACAAACCAGGTGAGCCAGCTATAACTCAATTTATTTCCTTTAACTTGAAACAGTAACATTATGCTTCACTTCTTATAGAAGAAATACAGCGTCAACGGCACATATAGTCACGTATGAATAAAAATTCGGTCGGAACTCAATCTTTATCAATGTTAGAATTTTCATAAAATGACTACGAACGATTAGTAGACTGAAACAACTAGCAACTCGAAAAATAAAAAAACGATCATTTCTGTCTCAAAACTTTCTTTTTTACTCGGAAAACTATAATGAATAATTTCTGTAAAGACAAAAATGGTTCTTTTTCATATTTTTTTTCATGCTACCCCAGCCGAAACTAACCTTTTTCGTCCCGGCGGCAAAAACGAATAGTATATTACTGCCCTAGGCCGCGAAAAACAGAAAAGTCCCAGAGTACGTGTAATTAGTGGCCGAGGGGAAGCCTATAGGCCTGAATACTATTTTTTTTCTCTGATTCATTTATTCAGAGAATTTTGATGTCAATAAATTCAAAATATATTTAAGTAAATAATGAACACGTTAAACAAAAATAAAAATCATAAAAATAGTAACTTGAATGAATTTTAAACTTACTCGATTTTTATTAATGATGATGCAGCATTGGGGGATCTGCTCGAAGTTTCATTTATTCTCGATACCTGATTGAAAAAAAAGAAAGAAAATAAGTAAATTTTATTTACATTCAAGCCATTGGCAATATTTATATTTGAAGAGGCGAGCGTGACGATGGCATTGACTTCAAATGTATACTCATAAATGTTACGTTCACCCCGCGACGTAGACAACGGCAACCGAGTTTTATTTCGCCCTCGAGTCTGCTATTCATAAATGACGCTGCGAGTTTTGGCATGAAACCAGAAACCCATGTATATATGCACGTAATATACACGAGATAGACTGACGAGCTTCGTGTAAGTCTAAACTGTAATAACTAAGATTTTACCTGCTAGTTGAAGTTTCTCGATTCAGTTTTAGTTTTAATTACGACGATTTTAGCTTTGTAAACTTATATGCGTGCACTTATGAATTATTTCTGAAATTAGGTGAAATGTGGCCAAACATTTAAATTTTAAATTGACCCATGATCTTTTCAAATGTGATAAAATATTTTGTTTTTTGTTCAACATCACCTTATAAGTAGCTGAGATACAATAAAACTACTTCAACCCTGGAATCTAAATTATGTTAAAATTTCAGGTCAATTCTGTAACTCTTCAGAAGTTATTTAAATTTAGTTTGTTTTAGTCTTATTGTTTAGTTTTTATTTACTTAATTTTATTTGATTTGAAATTTTCGTATTCTTTCTGCCCAAAAATACATGATTATTATAAAGGATAGATGATGTAGAGGACTATAAATCATTTTAGATTGAATAAAGTAACTTTTGACGCGTGTAAAAAGAGTACATTACGTAACTGCAAGGAGAAAAATTTATAGTAAAAATTGCTATAGGTCTTAATAAAAGTATGACATCTTTGAGGTAAGGGAAAATTTTACTAAAATCCTTTGTAATTTTTACAATATTTCTCTCAATTTTTATTTTATTTCTTATAATTTTTATACATTTTATAGCAACTTTTCACCCGAACGTCAAAGATGTCACACTTTTATTAAGACCTATAGTCATTTTTCCAAAATTTAAAGAAATTATTACTATATTTCTTCTCTCCGTGTGAGGCGGGAGATTGACAACCGTCTCAGTTACGTATTTTTCATCATCGAGTGCAGGAAGTTTTTATTTCCCGCACGCTTTGATAAAATAATAGATTACGCAACGGGGGCGGGAGGTTGTCGATCTGCACGAGTGTCGAGTTTGCAGCCTGAACGTAGCGAGGGTTGCATTGACACAAGTGCAAGATTGACAACCTCCCGCCCCCGTTGCGTACACTAATTTTCATTACAACGTGCGGAAAGTCGATTTTCATCACAGCGTGCGGGAAGTGCTATTTCCCGCACGCCGCACCATGCGGGAAAATCTTAAAATCGACTTCCAGCATTCGATGATGAAAAAAACTATACGTAACTATACGTACTATTTAAGATCGCCAGCCGTGCGCGAAAGTAGCACTTTCCGCACGCAGTGATGAAAAATAGTATACGTCACTCGTGCGCGTGGTGCTTCTCGCACGAGTCTCAGTTTGTCGCCCGAGCGCAGCGACGTACTTTATGACGAGGAATGCAATGGTAACCTTGAACATACCCTCAGATCTACAGCGAACCAAAATCGATTTATTGACACGTGACCCCCATTTTTTATTGCAGATTTGAAAAGACCGAAAAATGTTACAATAGACTATGTCTTTTCTTTTTCCTTCAAGTTCATTTTAAAGGCACTACAGATAGAAATAAAATGCTTATTTAACTAAAATCCAATTAAAATAAGGAATTTATTTATAATTCTAGCAACCTTAAAATGATCTTTAAAGAAACAAGAAAAAATATATGTCAACGTAAAATTTTCTGCCTTTTCAAATCTGCAATAAAAATGAGGGTCACCGTGTTAAAAATTGATCTATGCTTCGCGGTAGCTGTGAACTTAAGTTCCAAATTTTTACGTGATTTTCAATACTAAAACGGTATTATTTTGTATATGGCGCACAAAAGTGCATATACAAAAACACTATCAAATTTTTCCGTGTTCATGCATTTTTTTACGTTTTTAGGACCCCAAAGAACGCTTTGCCGTGACCCTTACTCGCGTACCACGAAAAATTCCGTGTAGTGATGGTTTATTTGCGTATAAAAGTTGCATCGCAATATCATAGTTAAAACACTTGTTAGTTGAACGAATCATTTACATCCTGTTATTTGAACTCATAAATAGGCCGCTTGCCACATATATCTCAAAATTGTTCACTTCATCAAACTATAAAAGCGAAAGTTTGATAGCTCTACACCATCACAAATGCAGGGCATTTATATGATTATATTTTTTCAAATCTCAATATGCACTAAGAGCATAAGTAACTCTAGTCAGTGTTTCACTCACTAAGTAAACCTTGCGGAAAAACTAGTGAAATTTATGCTACAATCAACAAGATAAGGATTGTCAGTTGCCGAAAAAAATAACGTTAATGCATTATTTATGGATCTTGGACAAATATGATATTTACAAATCATATATTTAACGTTTCCTGATGAATATTTCTTGCTTATAGCATTTGAATTTATTTCTGGAAAATTTATTTGCCACTTTTCAATGATTGTATTTTATGCATGCATTATCCTTCGCTGATACAAAATGTGTTCGATAATATTATAGATCGAGTCCATCTTGTAGCTGCACACGCATAATAAGGCAGTGTGGCGTCGCCTACAAGAAAGAATTACCTTAATACAAGTGAATTATTACCATGTAATTAGCATATTACAGAAAAGCGAAAAATATTTCCTTCGTTTTTTTTCTTTTTTTCATAATCGCAAAATAAAGTTGAGCGCTATGAAAAAATATGGCGCCGTCGACATGCACATACATCATCGTGTGATGCAAATGCGTTGAAAAAAAAAAAACAGTTAATCACTCATTTGCAAGCTCCGCTACGCACATAAGTACTCGGATACAATGTATAATACATACTTTTACATTAGAGTGTGAAAAATGTATCCTAAAATTTGTTTTGTAAAGTGCTAACTTTCCGAGTTTAAAAATCAATAAGAATTTCAACTAAAACTTTGCACTTTTCGAACATTTTAACGAGCAAAGTTATATTTGATAAGTATTTTTGAAGTACGTCTAAATTTTTTCAAAACTTTTCTGATACATTTTTGAATTTTTGAAAAAGTAGCAGAATCCAAAAACCAAAAATGACTCGAAAAATTCTGACGTATTTTTTAATAGATTTTAAACCCTTTTTCACGTACAGAAATAAAGTTATAGTAATTTTAACCTGTAATAGGTTGGAGCGAACATTTTAATGTGTAGTAGTGGAACAGTAAGTGTCGTTCATTTGGTAAAGAACCAAAATCGTTAATCCAGCGTAGTGGCGACTGTTTATATGTATAACATAAGCGGCAATAATAATAGAACACGAGCAGATCAGGTATGCCTCTTATTACGCTGGATTTACGTTTTCTTTTCATTGCCTAATTAATTGATTACCCAAGTTCAGATACGTATGTGCATCGTAGACGGCAAAAATGAGCATGTCAAAGAGTACTTATAACAAGTTGGAATTGTTGTTTTAAAATAGGAGCGATGCACGCACGCGCATACACGCGTGATGGATGCGTACGGCACACATCCGATCGCGTCGAGCGCTCGGATGAATTATTATCGTCGACGGGCTCCGCGGCTCTGTGTAAGATAGATAATCGGGCGCGCTTGACGCAGACAATCTGCATAATTGAATTGCAACATTTGCATAAACAATTAGCAGTAGCAGGTGTTCGGGCCATGTGTATTGATTTCGAGTCAAGATTTCTATCGATTCGATCATCAAAGATGAAAAAAAATCGCTTATTCATATCGTTTTGATTCTTATGCCTTCCACTGAGTAATCGGCTGCAACGAAGAAAACAATGCTGCACTTCTTGATCGTCGATTGAGCATCCTAAATCTGCTATAGCATAAGTAGTTATTTTATTTGCATCCAAGCGCTATAACTCAAAACTATAAGTTTGCGGCTGCGATCGCATGGTTAATCGCGCCTCTGCTGATCTGCCGCGGGAATTTGTGCAGACATTAAGCGGCGCCGCTAATGCAAATTTCAACATTTTTTCGTTGTGTAGCTCGCCCGTTTTGTGGACTCTTGTTTCCCGGAACGTATGTGTTGACGTTAATCGTGTATACATTAACGCAATTACAACTTTTTTTGTTGTTTTTTTTTAACCTTTTTTCCTTTCATTGTCGGTCAGGCCGCAGATGCTTCAAGTTCTGATGATTAATTTTATGAGTCGTAAATTTCTGTATAATAGATCCTAATGAAACATCCCGAATAGTAAAATGCATGCGACTCTAATAAAGAAGATTTTTCGCAATCTCCGTAGTACATTCAACTTGCTGGTCGTGCACCTCAGCGACTTAACCAGTAATTGAAAAATGGAAAAGTTAAAAAATGTGAAAAGTACATTGATCGGCATAAGTTATAATGAACTTACGTGTAGGGTAGCACAGATTTTAACACTATTCCAATGGCATGCGGCAAACTGAGAAATGAGACTGCAAGCAAAATTGATCGGCTATTTCAATTTATATCGGGACATTCCAATCTTATTGTAGAACGATTTGGCCTTTGTTTTACGCAGAGATCGAAGACCGTGTCTCTTCCGAGAAACGATGAGAAAGCTGGTCAGATTTTTACGCTAGTGCATGTGATATGGTAAGTAAGTATTACTGGCCAGTTTGCACGTCGCGCGAAAGCAAAATAAGAGAAACAGATCGTTTAAGAGGCTCTTTTTTATCGCCACTCGAAGCCAATTCATCATCGTCGTCAATTCGTGAAAATTCAAACGATCCGAGCAGCCGCGTCTATAGCCAGACGGACGCAAGTACTTAAAGGAAAAAAGAGAAAAAAATAAAATCAATAACGTCGACGACAATTTGTCAGAATCAGAGCTCGGATCGCGTAACGCATTAACAAGCTGGGGCGAGCGAGCAAAAACGTTTCGTATCAATCGGCTGAATTTTTCCGTCGTCGCG